AACACGGTCGGTGACCAGCTGTTGCCGGAAAAACTAGCCTTCATGCTGTCGATTGCTGAAGAACTGGAGCCATTTTTGGCAGAATTTCAGACCGACAAGCCACTGCCAACCTTTCTTTCATTGGCGCTGTATAACGTCCTACGGTCACTGCTTGCAAGAATTCTCAAGGAAATCCTGAATGCTGCAGGCATGCCCGCTAAACTGAAGGTTGACCTGGAAAAACCTGAGAACTGTATAGCTGTAGCCACCTTGGACATTGGGTTTGTGGCAAAGAATGAGCTCTGCAAGGCGCTCAGGCTACCACAGCTTACCTTGCTCAAATTCAAGAAAGACTGCGTTTCCTTCGGTAAGGTGTGCTTCCAAAATGTGATGGAGAGGTCACCATTGAAACATAGACTTGGGGTGCTAGCTGCTGGGATCCAGCATTTGCATTGTCTCCGGAGGCTGGCTGCAAACGACTGACCCTGGCACTTGGAAGTGCTTTCAGAAGACCAGTGGCTGAACGCTGTACAAGCAGAACGGGCCCATTTCTCCTGTGTACAGATCTGTTCATGGGCCTTGCACAGGAAAAACTGAACGATTTTGACAGGAAAGAACATAGGCTGGACATTCTGTGGCTAGATTTCTGCTTGCATGATCAGAAAGAGCTGTTGTCTTTCATCAAGATCATCCTATGCCTTTCTCATGGCAATGCCGCCATAGAAAGAGGCTTTTCAGCCAACATTGTTGAAAACTTGAAAGAAGAATCGCTCATAGCGCAGTGAGTGGTGCACAACGCTGTGTTGGCAGCACGCGGCATGGACAAGGTTGAAATTACTGACAACACGGTTCGCAATTCCGACAGTGTCTTTCGAGAGAAATTGCAGAAAAAGGAGGAAGAAAGTCGGGGGAGCCAGATGTTCAGTAAACCAAAAAAAGTGGCCAATCTTATGAAAGAACTAGAAGCAGCGAAGGCTGCTCAGTGAATCACTAATGGAGGCCAGTCTCTTACAAGAAAAAATGACTCCCTGAAGAAGTAAGATGTCTGTGCTTGGACAACCCTTGTGCAGTGGCCTACACTCTTAAGCAGCAAGAGCAGATTGTGTTTGCATAAACTTTGTGGAATATTAGACCCTCTAGTTAGATACCCTAATTTGTGCTGATTAAAATTGTGCTCTAGAAATAAAAAATGCCTTGTGTTGTAATAGTCTTGTATATTTAACAGTCTCTACAGTGGTCAGAAAATTTCGCCTTAAATTTTCAGTGAAAACCTGGAAAAGTAGGGGAATTCCAAAATAATAATTTTCTAGACACCCTCTACATCTTGTTTTTAAAACTCTGCGTCCAGAAAAAAAAAAGTGGGTCTATATTTGAATAAATGGTAGTCAAGGGTTGTTTCTCGTGCAGCTGTCGATTGCAAGAAAAGCAAACTTTGACTTCACTCTGGTTCCAACACCTCTTTAGGTCTCCTAAGGTCTCGTAGTAATTAAGACATGTTTTTTCTGTCAGCGTTTTGCTTTGACCTTCAGTTAATATCCCCAAAAGTTTTCCTCATTGTGCTTTTTTGTAGATTGCCCCATTGCTCCTTCTTTGTGGGCCCTAGTTGGGCAGTTTGAAGTGTCTTTCATATTGTTTGGGTCGAAGTGTGTTTTGAAGCTGCATTCACCAGAGTGGCCAGTACTCTCTAAAGCCTTTGGAGATTTTGGGACATCTCGTGCCTATACTTCGTTTCACCTTAGGTCCGAGCGCCGCCGATGTTATGAACCAAAAGGCCAATGAAACAGTGCAAAAAGCGCAACGTCATAGCGTGCTTGCTGTGCTTGATAGGGCAAGCCGGCGGAGGAGAACGCACTAAGAGACGGCGAAGACCCGCTGGTCCTATCAACTGCAGAGAGTAACCATGACGTTGCGCTCCTTTCGCTATTTGATTCGCCCTTCGGCTCATATCATCGGCCGCACGGATCTAAGCTGAAACAAAGTATGGCTATGGCCTCGAGATCGACCTAGAGGTGGCGCTACGGTCGCGCTATCATCATCATCAAAGCGGGGATAGGAGAACGGCCGCCCCATAGGCTCTCCACGTTCGCGCGCGAGACGGCGTAGATTCTTGCGTTTATTTTGTCGCATACTATCGGTGGGAAAACCGATAGTATGCGGAAAAGGATGCGGTACTGTTCGGTGCTTCAGTGAAGATCGAATCGCGTTGCCAGCGTGCGGCCTAAATTTATATAATCGCTTCTGTGGGTGCGTCGTCTGCTCTAGGCAGACATTGGAAAGCATGGATCTCCACGACTGATGCCTGTCTCTGGCTGAACTAGAATATTTATGTTGAATAGTTGCTTCTTTTAAAATGGGCGTATCGGTTCATCAACGTGGGAATTAAAAAAAAAAATAAATTCCAACCCAGATAACATAATACTGGTACTGTGGGCTGTGAAATCGCAGCTTCTAAGCTGTTTTTTAACTTCTAGCTTTTCCAGTAATATAATTATTTAGAATGAAGATAAGTTAGCGCTGTATTGGAAATTACCATGCTATTGAGTTCCTCTGCCCTTTTACTGTGCCATAGTGTGGGTAAGTTTTTTGGAGTCTGTACAAATCTACTGCGTTGCGATGAGGAGGGTGTGTCTCTTCCAGTTAAGATCTGGGGGGCTATGTTCGACAAATGTTTCGTTTCTCCTAAAAAGAAACGGAAGTGACAGAAGTGACGATTTTGCATCTGATTGGTTAGGGGCTCAAATGATGAAAGTTCCCTCTTTCGTCATTTGAGCTTTTAACCAATCGGACGTGATATCGTCACTTCTGTCACTTCCGTTTCTTTTTAGGAGAAACGAAATATTTGTTAGACATAGCCCCCCCCCCCCCCCCCCCCCCCCCCCCCTCTGCAAACTGCACGGTTGGCAGGACAACTGAAACAAGTGAAACAAACTGTTCTAATATATCTGCCGTGACTGTAAAAAACGAGTGTAACCGAGCAACGTAGCAATGTTCCTGTTAAATGTTTTTCTCAGTAGTGTGGGTTCACCTGCTTCAATTTTCTTGTGAGGGCCGCGGATGTCAAGAGGCTAATAGTATAGATTTGTGGCTAAATAATCTTGCACTCAAACACAGTACACTCTGCAACCCCAACAAACGACACGCACCACGACACAGACAGCATCGGCAGCAGTGATACTCACTACTGATGAAGGCTAGCGACCTTCACGAGATTTTCCGATCACCCCCTGCCCTCACCTAACGTATATTGGTACTGGGCAGTTCATCGATTAACTTTCAGATTATTCAAGTAATGCTTTAATTGCAATTTTTCTTTTGTCGGTTAATTGGAATCTTGTGCTGGAGAAAGTCAACAGGGAGTAAAAAAATGCTTGCTTTAATATTTTTGACGTCTTCATTTCTTTTGTGACACTGGCTTGCACGGTAAACCACTTCAGCGTGCTTGTCATTTCACCGAGGGTGATTATACCGTTTAAATAATAACTTAAAACGACTTCACTTTAAAAGGCTTCCCGTGTTCATATTTCTGTAAGAATCACAACGTGAAGTTTAGAATGGGAATGCAATATGCCATTTATGACATAGTAAAACCAGTAAAAAAACGTGGTTTTAACACCTTTCACGCAATATTACAGGCGAAAAATCAACATACGGATTTATTGATTGGTTCGTCTATCAAAAGATAGCGATCAGTCGGTTTAATTTTCTAGTCAAACCACAGAACCACTCAACATTTAATGTTTCATGGAAGCCACGGTTTGTGCGAGATAACAAAAATTCGTGGGACCAGCGATTGTATACAAACCAACGCACTAAGATTATGGAAGCTTCCGACTTAATAATAAATCGCTTTGCTGAATTTCTACGCATGGCAAACGATACAACACAACCTTTAGTAAGAAGAAACGGCAACAAAAACATAAAACATTTAATAAGGAATGTCAAGCTCAGCCTGAAACGGGCTTGCGTCGTCGAGATCCATGCTCTAAGCGTGCGCCCGTAGCAGACGACGCACGGCGGTATCCCCGCTTTCGCGCGTTTCCAATTACGGCCTCACGGTGGCGACACGGTTCGATCTCGAGGCGAATAGCGGAAATGTAGAGTGCACATTCTCAAAGTTGTGAGTCGTCAACGGAAAGGAGTGAGCCTTGGAATGTATGCATGCATATATTACAATAATAAAGTGCAAAGAACATTGTGTAAGTTGAACCATTTCTTGTTTTGCTTATTCGTTTCTATTCGCAATTTTTTTCATCTATAAAAGCCATTTTTAGCGTCCGCACGAGACAATTCGCCAAAATGCACAGGTATCTTGGAAATGAACACCGAAAAACATCCGCAGGTTTTTTACATAAATAAACACAGGAAAGTATGCGGCCTACGAACGAAGGAACAAACGACAGTATGCGGCCTACAAAGGAAAGTAGCTTCTTAGGCATACATTTGCTTTTTAATATTGAGATCAGGAGAGTGAAATCTGCCCAATTGGGCTCCTCTTTTCATTTATGTGATCACTTTCCTCATAGCTGCTCCAGTTGAATATCCATGCTGCATGACATGCATTAAAAACGCCCGTCTTGTGCACACAATTTTTTCTACTTATTAAGATACGGCAGCCTGACTAGCCAGGGTAATTCCTCATGAACTACAGTGTGAATATCTAGTCAAATCAAAATCACCTACCGTAAAATGTTGGGGAGCGTCCACCCCACTTATTGAAAACTGGGTTAATCATAGACACAGGCGCTTGTTCGGTCAAATCAGGCGCTTAACATATAATTAGCAGAATTCCCAAATTTTTTTCCTAAAAATAAAATATGTTAGTATCATTAAAATTCACCTTTTGCTTCATAAAAAGAAAAAGTATTTATCTTGTAAGAAACAAGATTTACATGCACTATGCACCCTCAGAAACCTTTCTGTAAAACTGCAAGGGAGGAAAACTGTGTTCACCAACTCTCGGAACTTGCCTGTGTGCTCACCCTTTCACTGGCATCTAATTTGCTTTCTTTTTTTCTTTGCAGGCTTGCGGTTGCATTTCTACAAGCTGGTAGGCGGTCTGACAGACCAGTCGTCATCCAAGGCTCAGCTGGGCCTGGGTCACAGCTACTCCCGCTCCAAGGTGAAGTTCAATGTGAACCGGATCGACAACATGATCATTCAGAGCATTGCCCTGCTCGACCAGCTTGACAAGGACATCAACACGTTCGCCATGAGAATCAGGTGGGCATGCAACCAGAGTTCCCGCTAGTCATTTAGGACCTCCAAAATCCTCAAACCCCCCCCCCCCCCCTTTTTTTTTTCTTCTTTATTTGCAGAAACTTGATTTACAAAAGCCCATCTTTCGGGAGCAAATATTTTTAACTTATAATTTGAGTCTCTCGCGTGAAAGCCAGTAGGCGACAATTGGTTGGTCATACGAGGCTTCTTCCACTCTTTTTCTTGGAAATGTGTTGTGACGACGGGACGGCAAAAAAATTCAGTATATGCGGTAATTCGATAAAAGCGATAAAGCCAAACAAACGGCGCCAGCAGCCTTGAGGGTGGATGGGAACACTGCGGAACACTCTGACCATATATATAATTTAACAAACCTCGGTTATGAACAAGTGGCAGCGTTACCGAGTAAACAAAGAATTAAGTGGAGTTTGCCGATAATTTCATCCGGGCATCAGTTCTCCTCGAACTGCTCCAGGCATCGCAAGAACACTGTCACCACCACTGCAATAAAGCAGCAATGGGATATTTCGTGTGTCTGCAGTCGTCGGTGTTTCCCAAGGTGCCTTTCTGAAGTCGTTTCGTGTTTACCCTGGCAGCACGCAAGGTCCATGATCGCAGCATCTGTGGCAGGAGCAGCAACGGGATTGTTACTGCTCCTCCCACAGAATCAAAGTTCTCCTCGGTGCCTCGCCAACTTGTTTTCACACACTCCTGTAGACCTTGTTGCAGCCCTGGGAATCGTGCACCAGCTCGGCAAGCATGCTCGCAAAAGAAAATCCAACGTGCGCAAAGCAGTTGGCTATCTTTCATCTTCGAGACGTGGGCACGCTTTCTCTTGCATGAGAAACGTCTCGAACCCGTCCAGTATGCCTTGCTTGTTGTGCAAAATGGTGGACAGTGTCGAACAGCCAATGCCGAAATGTAGAATTCTTTGGTGATTTTGGACTTAGGCTGGCCACTTTTCTAAACCTCGCAGATCTTGGCGACTTTCGGTAAACACTCAATTAGTAATCCGTACCACGTTCAAGAATTCCCTCTCTTCAGTTCAAAAATTCCCTATTTGAGGTACTTTTTCTCTGCAAAATTTTCAAATATCCCTGCACATTTTCCTACATATTTTTACCTACATTTTTGCAGCAGCTGATTTGTGTGGTCATGCAGGCCACTTTGCGCACATTCTACCAGAAAAACCGCGTGAAATTGCATGTTAAAGAAAACGTTACTGTTCCGTTTTTATTTTTGTTAGCTAAATGGTATACGGCCAGCAAGTGTTCTGAAACGCGTCTTTGGCACATCGAAACTCAAGGGGGGTGTGCCAATCAAAGGACAACATAGATAACTCGTAGGGAGCGCACAATGACGAGTCATTTGTTGTGGTCAGGGGGAAACAAAGGTATGTAAATGCGTTTGGCGGGTTAACAAACGTAGGACGTGTCAAGGAGCAGACAAACCTGCAAGCCGTATAACCCTTAGACGCGGCCATTTTGCTTTGCTTGGAGTCATTCAGATACCTGTCGTTCCTACACTGCTCTTTCTCACTTTATCTTAAAACTTTTGGACCACAAGACTTTTTTTTCTTTTTCTATCTAGTTCTTTGCAGTTGTTCCCGAATTCCCTCGTTAATTCTTGAAATTCCCTGCAATACTGTTAAAATTCCCATTTTCCTTTTCATCAAAATTTTGACCGAAAATTTCCTGCATGGAACATTACTGCTCCCAATCTCCCATGCGACGCACTTGTGCGCGTAATGCGCCGCAGGCATCGGGGGCTCCCTAAGGGATGACCTCCGGGCTCCCTGGACTCAATTTCGACAGGAGTCTGGCAGCGTCGGGCGCAGGTGCCGTGAGTAGCGTCGGAATGTTGATGCTCTGTCCGCTGCTCCCTGCCCGCGGCGCTCTGCCAGCTCTGTACACTTTGCCCTCTGTCACCCGTTTACTTCGTTTTCCCAGATTGCCATTTGCCTCGGTGGAGAAGAGGGAGGGAACGGAAGGGTCTCTGTGTGCCTCCGTGTAGGCTTGCGTGCTTACAACACTGCTGCCTTTGTAACGAGCGTGATCGGCCGCCAGTACACTTGAAATAATTTGGTTAAAAATGCGTGCATTTCGGTCGGGACCACGTTGAACTTCAATAAAAGAAATAAAAAAAAAAACTAAAAAAAACGCTTTATATTGAGGGATTACTGTAATTGCTGACCGCATCCTTGTATGCATCAGACTGTACAGTTGCTAAAGATAATTAAGTGTATTAGTGTGATTTATTTTTTCTTAATGCAGGAAGCTTTTGATTATCAGATTCATTTTTTAACACTGGCAAGGTTACTGAAACCAAAACACTTAGCAATCACGCGGAACATATTTCAGCCCTGCCTCTGCTTGTGGCGTGGTGGATAGGTTGGCAATGTAGAAAGTATAAGATTGGAGATAACAACCCATTATTTCCTCTGGTGATATAATGGTGTGTCTTTAAACTTCAACCTAATCCTTCCCCCTCATACACTCTGAATGACTCCCTGGAATGGTTTTGTTTGAAGCTCTTGCATTATCTTAGTCTGGCCACCTTTGGCACTTAGCTTAGAGTTGATAGGGTTTGCTCTTTTCCAGGGAGTGGTACTCTTACCACTTTCCAGAACTGGTGAAGATTGTGCCAGACAACTACACTTACTCAAAGGCGGCGATGCAGATCAAGAACAGAAAGGAGCTCTCCGAGGACAGCCTAGAGGCGCTGGAAGAAGTGGTAATGGACAGTGCCAAAGCGCAGGCCATCATTGACGCTGCCAGATCGTCCATGGGTATGTGGCGGCTGTTTAGTACTGGTGGTTTGGGGGGCCGAGGCGGGATAAAATGCTCGCTTAGGGAAGTACTCGTGCCATTCTGATGGACTGAACTTATCCGCAAGAAACGTCTGCTGGTTTCTTCAAGATAACTTGCTAGTATGTGTCAGTGCAACAACTATGGCAGTGGGGAACGGGGGGTTAGAGGCTGTTGAGCTCTACAGGTAACTGAACATCATATACTCCATCTCAAGTTGAGTGCAGCATTATTTGAGGCACAGGTGTGATAGTGGAGCTCTTCAAAATACTTGTTGTCTGAGCACTTGTCCAGGAGTGCAGTATTATTTAAGGTACAAGTGTGATAATGTAGCTCTTTAGCATACTTTTTGTCTGAACATTTGTGCCAGGATAGCATTTTCTAAAGTCACACGCTCGTGTCTGCCTTCTACACTGGTGCGCAGAAAATTTGAGATGTAGCACTTGGTTCCCTTCGACTTTGTGTCCCACAGTGATGTTTGATTTTTGGTATGTGCATTCTTGATGGCAGACTTTCTATATAGCATGACTGAAATGGCCTAGAATGTTATGTACTAGTACCGTATTTACTCGCATAATTCGCACAGTTTTTTTTTTTTTTTTAAATTTCAGGAATCAACTGGGGTTTGCAAATTACACAGCGATTTTGCAAACGTTCCCCGAATCTTCTATTTGTAAAGTTTGTAGGGTGTAATACGGTGAAACCCTAGTTACAAGGCCCCTGTTTATGCGATGTCTCCCATTTCGTGACAGTTTTGTCTGGGCCCAGCAAGCTCCCCAAGAAACAATGTAGCAAAACTTTTCGTTTCACAGCGTGCGATAATAAGCATCCTGCATCATACGATGAGCCTGCTGCATCGCATTGCCGGGAAAAACAGACGAAACACAAAACTGGACTGCGTCGGCGATAGTTTTAGTTGTTTTCGCCCGTTCGCCTCCTTTCAATCGCACATTTCCACACGTCCCACTTTGCTGTTGCGCTTTATTCTCTTTGACAACATGCTGCAAGGTGGTGTTGGCTGTAATTGGAACATGCTTTTAAAAGCTGAAAAAGGCAGCATATTCTCCGCTTATGATTTCCATGTGCTCTGCAGTTCACGTGCTCTCGAATAACGGACGTGCCGTGCCCACATGGACACACGTGAAGAGGAGTCTGTCCGTATTACGTGCTGAGAAACACCACAAATAACAGCAGTGATGCAGAGAGGGAAGAGACACCATCACGATTGCCGCAGTGCCGGAAGTGTTTAGAACTCGTAGCGACTTTTTGGGGGCGAAGCTCCTTAGGGTCTAGCCTTGTCTGTTCTTCTGTCTGGCGTCCGTGCTCACATAAAAAGAAAAAATGTTTGCGCAATCGACAGGATTCAAACCTGTGCGGGGAGACCCCAATGGATTTCTAGTCCATCGCCTTAACCACTCGGCCACGACTGCGGGACGAGTAGGGGGCTCTGAGATGTGGTAGTAACCCAAGAGCTGGGGTTTCTGTCATGGATGAAACGTTGCATGTAGCCGCTCAACGTCTATACAGGAGAGGGCGCTGCGGTCAAATGCGTATATAATCGCGTTAAATTTTGCATACATTGGCTCAACGTTTATAGACGAGAGGGCGCTGCGGTCAAATGCTCAAATGCGTATAGTATAACCACGATCCATACCATATTCTCTTTCTGACATGGGCCGTTGACTTAAGGACTAGGGTACTTAAATATGTTTTTTAATTTATTGAGATACCTTGCTGAAAGTTGGCATGTATATATATCATTGGATGGTGATTTCAAATCTGCAGTTGAATTGCAGGTATCTCTTTTAGAACAAAAGATATGGCAACATATAAAATTCCAATAAGGTAATTTCTTACGGGTCATTATGGTAATTTCTTGGCCATCCTCTTCTTGACCTTTTCACTTTCAGAGTGAGCCTTGTTGGCCTTGCGAAGCCTTTGCCTGTCCCTCTCAAGACTCCTGCGAATCAGGCTGCTACCTGTGCTGTAGCCAAGCAGTGCTGCTACAGCCTTGCTCGTCTTTGCCATTCCCTGGTTGAAGCGTGACACGGCTTCAGCGACAGCCCTCTCCACTGACAGCAGAGAGTTATGTGTGTTCTTAGGGTTCTGGCCCCAGATCACAGAGTGTAGGAACTCTATGGCATTCGGCGTCATGCCATCACTGCAGCGCTTCAGGAGTGCCCGGTCGCCCAGCCTCTCAAAGACTGGCTTCAGAGCAGTGCGAATGAAGCCTGGCAGTGGGTTCTTGTGTGGTGGTGGCTCCTCGTGGTTGGCCAGTGCCCGGTTGTAGGAGCACCAGGAACTGTCCCCCTTGGGGCAGTGGCTGTGGTCCGGGGCTTCATCTGTCGAGGTCATGTGCAAAAAAATTGCTTGCACTGCCTTTTCAATCTCTGGCACATCATGCTTGTGGCTTCTCAAGGCGTACCCATTGCAGTTATTTTTTTTTATCTTGTCCTGGGTCAGCTATTCCTTTCCTCCGAGCGACTCTCCCTGTGCCTTCTTCACCAGGGTACGAGGAGCTGCTCCCATTCGCTTGAGTACGTGGTTCAGGCAGTCTTTTTTCTCAATGTCGAGGTATCGATAGACGCTGTCTTGTGTCAGGGCATGGAAGGTGCGGCTGTCACCATCGGAAAGGATGGTAGTGTAGCGCAGTCCATTCCTTGCCAGGGACCGCCTGAACAGAATGAGGGCTGCCTCGGCTTCCATTCGTCCTGCGTTGCAGTCAATGTTTTTCATACACTTGTGGTTGATCACCCAGTCCCCATAGCGGTCGTCGTATGGGTCAGGTGCAACCTGGCAGCCACGGCAGTACCTTGAGAGGACAACGTGGTCAAGCACCAGGCCAGTGTAAAGCTCGAGGATGCACCCCACTGCGATGTTGGAGTTGTGTCCGCATGTCTTCCATGTGCCGTCAAAAATTATATCCACGTTTCCGGGAGGATTGAGGAAACTCTCTTAGACGTCCTTCACCACCTCAACACTCGCTGCTTCTGTGGCTGTTGCTGCTGCCTGGCAAGCCTGCACCATGGTGTCCATGTGTCCCCTGAACGTCTGATGATGAAGCCCTCGGTGGGAGAGGTTTAAGGTTGCACAGAAGTCTGCAAGCGCAGTCGCCCCCTTTCCTATGCTCTGTATTCCCTTCATTGCCCTCAAGTTGATCTCGAAGGGCATAATCTTGGCTTCCACGGCGGCTCGTGGAGAAGAAAATTGACTCTCGGTGAAATCGCAGCTCGAACACGTGAGGACCAACTTCACTGCCAGGCCGTCTGCCTCTCTTCGCACTTCGAAAGTCCTATGGTAGCCATTCCGCACTTGCCGCATGCCGTGGATGCGAAGAGTTCTTGTAGCACTTTCATGTCCACGATGACATACTCTGTGCCGCGGTCGGTGTCGTCGCTCTCCATGCAGACATCGAGGAGCTCAAACTTCCGTGAAGTCGCCGACTGATCTGCCAACGAAGCCTTTCTGTCGTCCGCACGTTGTTCGCGCTCCACGCACTCTTCCTCCGTGTAGAACACAGTGTCGATTCAATCTCTAGACGAACTTGGTCCCGCCACGTCCACGAGCGGAAAAGCAGCTTGAGGCATCTGCGAAGTTGTCGAACACAAACTTGATCCAGTCGAGTCCACGAGTGGCAAAGTGGCTTGAGGCATCGGCGAAGTTGTCGAACACAAACTTGATCCAGTCGCGTCCACCAGCTGTAGAGCGGCATCGGCGAAGTCGACGGTGTCATTTTCTTCGATGCGGAGGTCTTCTTGTTCCAGGCACGCCTCGTTTTTGTGTTTAGTCTCTGCGTGCTGGCCTTCAAATGGGCGTCCCCAGCCATTGGAACTCGAAACGCGCAGGACGAAACAAAGAATGACGACGACACAGGAGGGCAAATATATACGAAAAGGGAAAGCTAAACAAAGTGGAGGTATCAAAATATTTACATGAACAATGCGAAGAAGACAGGGAACATACAAAAACACTAGGAAGCGCAAGAAAAACACTGAAAATATTGATATAGAAAGTGGAGAAATGCGAATGGCAGCGTGTGTCTCGAATGGCGAAGCGAGCAAAAGCAGACGACGCGGGAGCCCACGGAGCGACCGGGACGACGCGCTGGGGAAGCCAGGAGAAGAGGTGCGCATTTCGGCCAATGAGAGAGCTGCGCCTCTGAGAAGTGCGCGCTTTGCCCAATCAGCGTCTTTCCTAGTGCTGGTGATGGCCTTTTGTACGGCATCGATCACGTCGCGGCCTTGAGGGGTACACCGCTTTGGAGCGCGGGAAAAATAAGCGCGGGAAACCAGCTTTCGAACAAGACCAAGATGGCTGCGATCGGTTGAGCCGTTGCGGTGCTCCGACGGCTTAAAGTTTGTTCGAATTTTCAGAGTTTAGGCTTGAAGTCAGGTCTGTCAACGCTTACAAATTGTCATTAGTTTCATATTTAGAGACTGAATTGAGCATTTATATTTCGTGAGGACATACTCTGGACTATATAGACCTCAAAATCGTGAACTTTGAAAAAAGGCATTTTTCGTGATTTTGTTTTAATATTTTAACCTCCTCGTCCCTTCTTAAGCGGTGGAGATGCGTTGTTACGGCTTCTAGCGGATCCAAGCTGATCCACTAGAAGAATCACTGGCTCTGCATTTCACCGACCATAAAGCAGTAATAATGAAGTCGAAATGTTACCCGGAACTCGGCACTACCTATGAGCAATAAAAAAAAAAAATCGGCACCATCAGCACTAGTTATGAACAATAAAATCAGTATCATCAGCACCACCAGAGCTTCGCCCCAATCAACATCATTCACCACGTGGAGATGTGGTCAATTTTTGGACCACAGCAGCCTTTGATGTAGTGCTGCCCGATGAAGCCGTCAGAAAGGCTTGTGGACGGGAGCAAGAAGGGGTGTGCAAAATATGCTAGGAACTTTTTTTTTTTCTTACGAAATGTGTAAGAAAAGGGTAACTTTTCAGTTACCCTTTTTTCAAAAACAAATTTTCCGCGAAAAAAAAAGAAAAAAAGATAGCAGTATTTCCGCCACAGGACGTAATTTCGTCGGAGTCACAACACCTCCACATTTGAAACTCCCACTGTTTCGCCCCGGAGGAGGAAAAGTATGCCCTGCCCCTTGCTCTTGGAGTTGCTCTTGGATTGACTTGGCTGCAGACTTGAATGACGCAGAGTCTTGACTTTCGATGCGTCTTGTGTACCTACCACAGCCTTTTGTAGCTTCTGTGTTCTGTGCGAACTGTGCACAAGGTGGACCCTGAATTGAAGCGTCAGCTTCTTGGCTGCTGCGAGCAACTGGGTCTTCGGCCATACAAAGATACGCCACGGAGGGCGGCTGCCAGCAATGAAGACGGCGCACTGCTTGAGTTTTCCAAGCCTCTGGCATGCTTGGACGACACCCGCTGGAGAGCGCTCTCGCGATCACTAATCTGGCAGCACTTTACTGAGCATTGGTGCCGCTTTACAGGAGCTGACATCTCCAAAAAGTCAACATTTGCACAAAAAAAAAAAAAAATTAAAAGCACGTTAAGAAAGCAAAGAAAACGCGCTACGAAAGCAGAGAACACCCCAGGAAAACTAAAGTAACAAACTGCGCTATGAAAGCCGAAACTCCACGTCGCTTCCTATCTTTAACACCTTCGACATCTGCTAAAAGGTCTCACTCAAGCACCTGAGTCAGCAGGAAACACTGATCACTTAGGTGAAAAGACTAGTCGAGGTAGGCGAGACAGGCGGGAGCAGAGACAGCGTTGGCCATGGAAAGAATGTCGAAGCTTTTGTTTGTTATGGTATGAATTCAAATGGTCAGTGCCCGTCTTGTAAACCTATTGTAAGGATTAATTATAACTCTCATTACATAAGTTATTCTTTAAACATAAAAATATGCCGCTCAAAAGGAAATTGCAGCATATCGCAAAAATTTAACAACCAGGATCTAAGCTGTCAATCAATCCCTTGGCCAATGAGAAGAGTTGCTATTGCACGTCACTCCGTGACGCATAATAGCCACTCCGTGACGTATAATACCAACTTTGTGGCGTGCGATCTAAAGCAGACGGAATAGCCGCAAACTGAAATCAATCTCGCGCATAAATGTTGCTCTAAAAAAATTTTTTTTTCTCTCTGGAAAGTTTGTTTTCTGGCATGCGTTGCCCAATTAGGCTGTTTAAAAAAACACTTCTTGTTCCTTTGCACACCCTTAAAGAGTATTTAACAGTGTGCAAATTATGCGAGTAAATATGGTATTTGGCTGTGGTGACAGTACGCCAAGCAGACTTGCTGTCTTGCAAAGATATTGGATTGCAGTGTAAGCATAGCTTAACCTGACTGAAGAAAACCTATTTTCCTAAGCCACTTTGTTTTCTCCCTTTGTGATGGCTAGGGATGGACATTTCACCGATTGACCTGATTAACATTGAAATGTTTGCCTCACGAGTGATTTCTCTGGCCGACTACCGCAAGGAGCTCATGGAGTACCTCAAGACCAAGATGCACGATATTGCGCCCAACTTGGCAACCCTCATTGGCGAGACGGTAAGCAGCAACATCCGAGCGGCCTTATGGCGTCAAGTCCATGGGCAGTACCTTGACCTTTTTCTTAAATCCCGAAAGGTTGCACGACTGCTGCATTGTCTTGGGTGTTCCCGAGTAGTGCTTCCCTCTCACCCTGTCGGAGCTGACAACATGCTTGCTGGGTTTTCTTGCTTGTTTTCGACCACCTTCCTGCGGTGCAATCGCAGTAGTTCTTTTTTTTTTTTTTTTCCCAAGGAACTGCTTGCACCCTATTACCAGCACTTGCATTCAACAACTGTGCTATTGTTCGTGCAGGATGAACCAGCAGTAATACTGCAGTTGAATGATGATATCAGGAACACCAGTATGCATTCTTTTTAGAGTGAAGCTCGGTCTCTCATGTTAGAGAGTGCTCTTCAGTATTCTGTTTGTCAGTAAAACCCAGTCTTTTCATGCTTGAAGCTCTGGTGGGGTGGCTGTCTCCTTGCAATTTAATTGCACTTTTTTTAGGGGCGAGGCTCCTTGGGTCTAGCCTCGTCTGTCCGTCCGTCCGGCCGGCGTCTGTGCTCACATAGAAAGAAAAAATGTTTGCGCAGTCGACAGGATTCAAACCTGTGCGGGGAGACCCCAATGGATTTTTAGTCCATCGCCTTAACCACTCGGCCACTCGGCCACGACTGCGGGACTAGTAGGGGGCTCTGAGATGTGGTAGTAACCCAAGAGCTGGGGTTTCTGTCATGGATGAAACATTGCATGTAGCCGCTCAATGTCTATACAGGAGAGGGCGCTGCGGTTAAGTGCTTATATAATCGCATGCATTGGCTCAACGTTTATAGACAAGAGGGCGCTGCGGTCAAATGCTCAAATGCGTATATAACCACGTTCCATACCACACATTCTCTTTCTGACATGGACCGTTGACTTAAGCAGTGGAGATGCGTTCCCACGGCTTCTAGCGGATCTAAGCTGATTCGCTAGATCAGAGGTCTCAAACTCGCGGGCCGCATGCAGCCCGCAGGCAACCAGCTACGAGTCCCAGTTCATATGTCTCGAACGCTCGAAGTGGCTCCATAGTGATCACATCTCGCAGATTCATTTTCGCGCGAAAGGTATAACTATGCTCCTTTAACATATTCACGAAATTTATACTTGTCGGTGTTCATTTGCCCTTTGTTTCGCTTTATCTTTTTCTTCCCAACTTTTTTTTTTTTTAATTTACAACAATTTCGCTGCTAGGCTGCAAGCACATACTTTTTGTTGAAGGATGCATCTTGGCTGCGCAAACTCTCGATCAGCAGGAGCACTTATCGAAGATGAAGCTACGAGCAAGGGATTCTCGCCTTTTAAAGTAAATGTAGCTGTTAAAAGACAAGTATGGGTGTTGTATCGTGAGGAAAATAGAAGCTGCCAAATTAACTGGTTGTGTTTAGAGACATGTTGAGCTTGGTTAATTCCTTGGTTAATTTGAAGAACTGGAACGACAGTGTACCTGCTCTCTTGTTCTATTCAAATGCGAGCACGTTGGCGGGGAGGTGTTATTTTAATTATCGTTATCGCATCAAGTCAAGGCCCAGAGCAGTCATATAAACAAATCAGATCTAAAAATGTCCCCGTGAAAACTGAGTTTACAAAAAACATAGAGCACAAAGTCTCTTCTCCTTCAAATCGTTAGACTCTCCCCCCCCCCCTCCCTTTCCGACTAACGTTGGCCCTCGGTCTTCCCGGTGTGGGATATCTGGCCCCCACGCTGTAATGAGTTTGAGACCACTGCGCTAGATGAACCACTGGCTCTGCATTTCACCGACCATAAAGCAGTAATAATGAAGTCTAAACGCAACCCGGAACTCTGCAATACCTATGAGCAATAAAAAAAAATATCAGCACTACCTATGAACAATAAAATCAGTATCATCAGCACCACCAGAGCTTTGCCCCAATCAACATCATTCACCTCGTGGAAATGCAATCATTTTTTTGCGGTGCAGGTGGGTGCCAGGCTTATTTCACACGCAGGGAGCCTGACTAACCTTGCCAAGTACCCGGCATCAACTGTCCAGATCCTGGGGGCTGAGAAGGCACTCTTTCGGTAACCGCTTCTCATCTTTGTTGAAAAGTGTCTGGTACAATGGATATTTTTTCGGCAGTGCTCTGAAGACAAGAGGGAACACTCCCAAGTATGGCCTGATCTTCCACTCAACATATATCGGCCGGGCAGGGACCAAGAACAAAGGCCGAATTTCCCGTTATTTGGCTAACAAGTGCTCCTTAGCTTCCAGGATCGACTGTTTTAGCGGTATGTGTCACTAAAAGTGTCCAAAAATTCCTTTTTTTTTTCTTCAATTTCTTGCGCTGTGTGTTGCATGCTAACCTTCTGTTTTAGTCTCGCCATTTATCGTCATTTATGGGTTTCTGTTTGATGGGTCGTAATCTCGGCTGAGGTGCCGTCAGTATGACAAAGACTGGTTGAGGAATGGATGCCATACAACTGGTATTTGAGCCCATGGGTGGCATAAATTATTTTCCTGGCACTCTTTGCTGATAAGGTTATCTCCCTAATTTATTTGGTTTTGGAAGTAGATTTGAGAGAATATTAATTTCATGGCAAGTCTTGGCTGCTCCAAATGCCAGTTTTGCTGCTCCAAAACATTGTTTTGGTTGCTCCAAGGCCACATTTGCTTTTGGTTGCTCCAAGGCCACATTTGCTTTTGGTTGCTCCAAGGCCACATTTGCTGCTCCAAAACAGTTTTGGCTGCTCCGAAAGGTGCTCCAAAATGGCTTTGGCCAATCACATCTCGGATGTCTGTATAACATTCATCTGTCGTAGCTTGCATGTTCTCATCATCAGATTTAGCATTCTCACTAGTCTTCTGCCCTGTGTTAATATAGGATGCACTTTTATTTATGCCTGCCGAGTTCTCTGGGTCACAATTATTTTGTAATGTCATAATTAGCAACATATGGCATTTAAAAATAAGGTATATGTTCTCAACCACTTTACATTTGTTTTCTAGTTTTGTTTTATCTTTTATTTTTGTATTTAAATGCATAATTAGGCTTATTTATTTAAAATTTTCTCATTTATGTAATCTTGTCTATTTTCCGGCACCTTCGAGACCGGGACAGATCCCTAATCCGGCCCCTTAGCCAAAGTGTTTGGAGATGCCTAATCTAGAGTTTAATTGGTACACTACATCGACCCTTCAATGGTTATAGTTTGCACGCTTACATCAATCCTGCTAACCTTTGTCTACTAGCACCAATGGAAACAGAACACTCATTTGACTAAGTTTATGGCACAGCTGCACAGCAGTCGAAGGGAAATTTGACTATAGTCTGTGACTGGTTAAGGGTAAAAAGGAAGCTCCTCCCACCTCTATCCACTTTAGCAGAGCGAACGCGGAAGAGGAGGTGGTCTCCTCTCCAGCATTCCCTGTGTTAAAGTGGAAAGAGGTGGGAGGAACTTTAATTTTCTCTTAAAGGTCAAGTCTGCTGAATTCCGAAGATTTCGGGATAATGACTTCGCATTAAAAAGCCCTAGTAAAAGACACTACGTGATTTGCTTCGCGAAAAATAGGATATATTTTTAAACCTAATTTTAAACTCGAGCAGAAACCGAAACTTCAGCTCCGTCCGGCAACATTGGCCTCGGGCTGCCAGAAACATGGCTATCACGTGGTGCCAGATGTCATGTGACCCTCCACGCAGTGACGGGCACGATTGGGATGGGCATGTTCCAGGCACAAGTGTCGTGTGCACCGCACTCTTTACCACGTTTTGGTGTCTACGACATTCGAGCACATCTGCACAACTGCGGCAAAAGTCTGCGCACATAGTGTCCGTAGTGTGGACGAAGTTCTGAGAAACAGCAATCACAAACGGTGAGACGAAGACAGCAGTTGTGATGTGGGAGACGGCGGGGCGGCTGGATGACTCCCAAGAAGCGCGCTGCGCAGGCATATTACGCCATCATGTGGACACCGCTGAGCGCCAACAGGAAATGTTGCTTACATCACCCGTTACGCTTGCCTGAAGAAGTAAAAACAAGCTAAAGTGGGCAATGGTGTTGACGTTCAGCTCAATGTTGGCTATACCCACTCCGTAGCCTTGACTGTGCTGTTGGTTGTGCCTCAATTCGCCTGCTCGAGTCAGCCGATTTCGGCAACTTGGCGAGTTGCAAAGTTTGCTGGACCGTTTAAGAAACATTTAGACAGAACTATGTTATAATATTTGACGTGTGGTCTTCCTCGGTGATACGTAAGGAGACTGCATTGTTCTTTCAAAAGCAAAAATAAAGCGGAGTTGCCCTTTAACCTGTCACCAACTATATAGTACAGTATAATGGGCATCACGCAACTGATTGCATGAATGCATGCTGGCATCACAAATAGGGAAGTGCACCTAATTCCTCTAAAATTACGTATGTCCTGCTTCAAAAAGTGATTTTTTCTGATACAAAGGTGCTTAACAACGAGATTTTTTTCTGCTCCAAAAATGGCTCCAACTCTTAAAGGGACAATGAAGGCAATTTCGGATATCTTTTTGGCGATTGAACTGGGTTCCAGGGTTGTCTCTGGCAACGTTGCCCAAATTTCAACCGAAACCGGCGCTTGTGTACCACGCATATCAATGAAACAGTCGCGGTAATAATCGTACCGGGATCGACTGGGGCGACGCCCCGAGAGTTGTGGGAAAAGCCAGGAGAAGCGGAGCTCACGTGACCGATGCGCGGCCAAGAAGCGCGACGTCACAAGAGACGCGTCAGCGATTGGTCGAAACGAGAGACGTGCCCTCGGTCACATTTTGGTACGCAATTTTAGGAATACTGTTCCAATTTCTGCTTGAATAACCATGAAAAGTATAAATCAGACCACAAATGATTACTAAACCGTAAATAAAACAGCATAATTGTTTTTCTCTTTGCTGCACTGGATGCGAACCTGGCAACTGCTCGTTGCCAGTTTCGCATCCAGCGCAGCAAAGAGAAAAACAATTATGCTGTTTTATTTACGGTTTAGTAATCATTTGTGGTCCGATTTATACTATGGGCAAACAAAATAAAATTAAAAAAAAAAAACACTCGGGAGACGTTTGGTTTTGGTGTCAGGTGTCGGTGTCGTGTTTACTTTGGGAACACTGTACTCGAAGGATTCTGCAAAATGGTAGTCATGCCAAATTTGTGCGAGGTAGATGGCTGTTTTAACGGTCGACTGAAGACCAGTGACGATGAAAAGAGGGCGTCCGACTTTGGTGAAAACCAAAAATGGTGCTGTTTATTTTCTCCTTCCTAAGGAGCGTCCCCCGCGGGAGAACCGGTTCCAGAACGGCTTTGTCGCCGACGATTTCCCCTCGGCATCTCCCTCGCTGCGTCAGTGTTACTTCTTTGTCTGGTCCTCGTCTTTTCGCGCTGTTTTTAATTCCGAAGTATGTACCAACTCGCCGAAGCCTCAACTTTAGCGCGTCCTTGTCCTTCGGCAACGCGCCGCTCTCGTCTCGCCCGCGCGAATTTTGCTAACTGCTTCGGAGCCTGTGGCCGCTCGTTACCGGCTGGGCGGTCTCCGTCGGGTGGTGGCGTAGGCCACCACACACATATTCCCGTTCCGTTGGTGTTCGGTCACTGAACGGAAGCCCCGAACTTGCTCGCTAGAGCGGCATTGTTGTCCATGTTGACAGATTCGACGAAACGACCGCGCTGCTATAAGCCACCGCGGTAACCAGAGTCTCGATCTCCTAAATACTACCGATACCGACTATTCACACCGGACGTCACTCCCTATGTCACCTCCGTTTTCGGAGGCCCAGAAATGAGAATGGAGATTGTTCAGTTTCAATCTCTTTACTTTTGTAGGCACAGAAATACGCGTCAGAAATGTCTGCAAAAAAATTGGGCAGCATCCTAGGTTCCCAAGAAGCCTATAAACACCATTTAAAAATATTAAATAAAATTGTCTTCATTGTCCCTTTAACTGGCTGAACCACCACTGCTTGCAATAACTGCATGTCTGCGACATTGCTTGCCGTATCATGCGAGTTAGTTGCAGATGCCGGCATGTTAAAGATAATCCCCCCCTCCCAAATCAATATCTTCTCCCATTTATCTCTGCACTCTGTGTGGACGTTTCTTCGAGATTTTAGGTACGGGGCAATAGATTGATGAATATTGGTTAATGTTGCAGACCTGCCGACTACCATTTTTGGCCAGAGACTGAAGGAACAAGTTGAAGATCGACTGAAGTTCTACGAGACTGGGGACATTCCACGCAAGAATGTGGATGTCATGACGGACGCTCTAGCTGAGGTAAGGACGGCTGGGAATATTCAGGTTACAGTTGACTCGCAATAATTTTAAACCCACGGAGACAACGAAAAAGCTTCAAACTTTTGGTCCGCAAGCAGATCATAGACCACGGCATGTTTGTAGACCAATATATTCGATGGACAAAACATCTCATAATAAGGCCTGGGTGATGCCCCAAACTAAACTTCGTTGGCTGTAGGCACTGCGCTGTCACGCTCGCCTCCATAATTCGCATTGGGGCGGTGCCACGACGCACGCGCCCTCAACCATGCTCGCTTGGCTTGGTCACCTGGCAGTTTAGTCGCATACTGCGCTCATTCCCCCTTCTCAACCGTGCACACAGATAAAATGATAATGGGTGCATGGGTGGTTCTCATTTGAATCCGTTTGCATTTCTACGTTCTCGTTTTCACCTTCTCATTTCAACCCAGCGCAAAACAACTTTCGCTTTTTTCCCTTTCTCACTTAAACCATTCTCAAAACACACTCTCGGGTTTTGACCATTCTCAAAACTACTTTTCTCACTTTAACCTGTCCTTTTTCGAACTTTCTCAAAACATACTTTCTGGTTTCAACCATTCTCAAAGATACTTTTTCTCATTTTAACCTTTCTCCATTTCAAACTTACAACAAACATATTTTCTGGTTTTGACCATTCTCAAAACGACTTTTCTCATTTTAACCATGTACATGATCAGGCTAGGGGAAAACAATAATTTCAGCATACACTCACGGGAAACCCAAATAAAGGAACCAATGACATGATGAAGTCCAGGTGGGTGGTGCACGAAAGCACCCAATGTCAAAAGCCCCGTGTCAAATACCTCGCGGCAAACACCCTGTCCTTTTTGTCCGGCTTTCAGAAGCCCCAGTTTCAGAAGCTCATGACGCGAATCCCCCGTGTCAGTTAGCGGGCCCTCAACGTGGTGGCGGAGCATTCTGCTTTTAACCAAGAGACAGTGTGCACGCCAGCCTGTGTAACGAAATCATTAGGTACCCGGTACTCAAGTAATGAGTAACTGATTAAAGCTTCAGTTCTTCAGGCGTGCACTAAACACATTCACGTCTTGCGGCGCTAGAAGAGAAAATATGTAGAAAATATCATTCACTCGCAAAACATTTAAAGTTACAGCTATTATCAATATGTATTGAACCGAAGCTTTCGTCAACTCTGAAGCATGCGCGGATTGACAGTTCCGACAAAGTGGGTTCTGTCAAAACTGTTAAACTGCAGCTCATGGCACCATATTTATCGCAGCTCCAAACACCAGTTCCATTCTTATGTCGTTCAAAAAAAATATATATTTGTACCCATCTAGGTAGATAAATTTTATAAACCTGCATCTGAGTTTGTTTGTCGCAGGTGATGCAGATTTATGATTTTGACCACTTGGACGTCATTCTAAATTTTTCGGCAATTGAAGTTAACCGTATTTAATTTTTTTATTTCAATTACAAGACCCTTAGTAGGCACTCAACAGATTACTAAGACAGGGAACAATGCTGGTTGAAGCGTGAATAGGGGGGGCTACGGGGCAGTGAGGACGGAGTTTTTGGCACGCGGGAAATACGGGACGGGGTAATTGAATGCGGGGTTTTCGAAACGTGGGGCTAATGAAGCGGGGCTTTTGCGACGGATTCTGCACGCGGGCCAATCGTGCTACACCCGTCCAGGCATCTGAAGCTTTATTGCCCCTTGAAATGCAATTTGGAGAATGACATCTAGAGTTCATGCCAATCCACGGCATGACGGACGGGTTCCGGAAAAAAAGGCCCCAGGTGGAAAGTAGGAAAAAATGTCCCCAAAGTGTTCTCTGTCACTGGGTTTTCACTGCCCGAAGGCCATTCTCATGGCCTTCGGGCGGTCCTGCCATTGTTCGGTCACAAATGACCTGACCCACCTAGAGGTAGAAAGGGAGACTGGAAGTCGCACAAAGCAACCGATATAATCCATTGTGGAGTATTTTGGAAACCAAATTGATGAATTTGCCAAAACCCAATTTTTTTTTTAATTGTGAAATAAACATTTATAATACTTCTAGCCAAAACCAAACAAAATGATCGAGTTTTTTTTCTCATAGAAACGAAAGTTTGTCATCAATGTTATCATAGGTATTGAAAGTGCTCATTTGGGGATATAATGCAGATGGTAAAATTTCGTTCCCACTAATACTCTTTCTAAGTAAAATGTGAAAATGCGGCAATGTCGTGTTCGCGCTAACAGTGTCGCGATGTGTACCTTGGGTAATCTTATATTTCCTTATTTGTTGGGGCCGTTTTTTTTTTCCCATGAACATATGACCGAACCGCCCGAAGGCCATGAGGATCAGGGACACCCAGAGATAGAGAATCCTTTGGGGACATTTTTTCCTACTTCCCGCCTGGGGCCTTTTTTTCCGGGGACATTTTTTCCTACACCCATGACGGACGACACATAGGCAAATACACAATGATCATAGATCTGTAGGACCACTCCAGCATCGGTTGTAAATAATTCGGTATCCGCACAGGGCATGCCAGATGAGCATAATTTGCATCCGATGATTCACGACTGAAATAAAGAAAAAAAGCTGTGCCTGGTAAGAAAGCCCTCAAGCCAAGCAACATCTGCACCTGTACATTTCGAGAAAACCAACGCGTTATGGAGTGCACACCCCCAGCATTGGAGCAATGAACAGCCCTCGGCGTAGACGTGCTCATCTCAAAGACTATGTATATAAAATTCGCATTCTCCACGTAACCACCGAACTTGAATTAATCCAACATCATCAGTGATGTGATTGGCCCAAGCCGTTTTGGAGCAGCCAATACGGTGTTTTGGAGCAGCAAAAATCGCCTTTGGAGCAGGTAAAACAGTGTTTTGGAGCAGCCAAAACAGTGTTTCGGAGCAGCAAAAGTGGCTTTTGGAGCAGATATTCTTGGAAAAATAAACACATTTGTTTTAAGTGCTGGACGAACGAAGGACACTTCGCTCGCCGCAATAGACAAATATGGTCAAGTTCGGCCACCTGGGAGTCTTTCAACATGTAACTGAAATGCCAATGACATGACACATTTCGCAATGCTTCAGTTAAATTATACATATATATGTGCCTTTATAGATAAATTAGAACGAAACTGCACATATTAAAATTTATTTGAAAATGACCAGCTTATTAGTAGATATCACAGCATTAGGTTCACTACAGTAGCTATATAATATAATAAATGGAAGCTGTCTCCGACTGATGAAACACGTAACTACTGCACTGCAATGCAAAATTGTATACAAGACAAAGGTGCATTAAGACTACCGGGCGCTTTTCTTTTTGCTTTTTGCTTTTCAAAACTTTCTACAAGGCTGCTGCAAGCCTCGCTTTGCCTTTGGCTAGTAATGAATTACCACTTTCAATGTCTTCAAAGAAACATCCCACAAGTGAACAGTGCTGTGGCCGTTGCCGAGCAATTCCGAAAAACCGCTTGCCACCGTTTTACTGGTTCCCGACGTGCCAGATTTTCGTCAAAAGTAAGCAAACGTAAAAAAATGGGTTGCAAGCGTCCCGACTGGTGCCTCTGTCGTGCAGTCATGTTCGCATGCACATGAGGGCAACTTCGGCAGCTTGCATTTGCACATACTTCGTCGCGCGAGCGTAGATGGCTGTTCGATCGAAACATACACCATGCCACTCCGCCCCGTCGCCAACTGGTTCCCAAAATTGTATGCAAAATGTAATTGTCCAGCATACGACAAAAAAACAGTCCAGCGGCAAGTGCTTGACCGGCCAGCAGGCGAGGTACAAGCTAAACACACAGAAAAAAAAACAAAAAAAACCTGATCGAGTCAGGTCAAAACAAGACATTGCGAGTCAGGGTCAAATATGTGCTTGGAGCGCCTTGTACGACGACTGAAGCACTGAAGCGTCAACACACGCCCACGTCTATCGTTGAAATAGTTTTTAAAAAGACGCGAGACGAGACAAAGGAACGACGAGAGCGTGAAACGAGAGGTGGCGAGAAAAACTATGCAAGACCGGATGGACGATTGATACAGGGTACTTTCTGCTGGGCGGCCGCTTGCGCTACCTAGCTCATGCATGCTCAGTTACGGTACTCAGTTTAGTTTCGGTTTTGAAAGACGACCAAAATTGGTCTTTTGGCGCAGGCTTGGCGCAGATTACCCATATTTTGGCAAAATGTAGCAGGATGTAACAGGGTTCGCCTCTTGACGCAGTTTGGCGCAACAATCACATCACTGCATCATGTTTCGGAACTTACAAGCAATAACACACGACGAGCACAATGATCCATCCGCTCCACAAGACGGACATCAACAGTGCCAGAGGAGAAATTCAGTAGCGAAACACCTCTAGCACTTTTGAAACCACGTCACCATGTGCCCAGGTAGCTACGTCAACAGGCTCGGGGCGGCATGCAAGCATAAGGAAAATTGTTTCATGGGCTATGCACGATATGTGGCCACTTTGCAGCATCCTGTGTACCACCTTCGCTTCATCTTCACCCTTCATCCTCAACTGTTCCTCCTTTCTGTACCTCATTGCCCTTTGTTCTGAGCGCGTTGTTCAAATACGGTGTTCAAATGAGAACAGGTTCCAACGAGAAAGGCTCGAAACGCGAAGGGTGTTTTGCGAATGGGTTCTAACGAGAAGGGTTCAGATCAGAATGGGTTCAAATGAGAGGGGTATAAATGAGAAAGGGTTGAAATGTGAAAGGTGAAAACGCGAAGGGCGTTTCGCAAATGGGTTCAAACGAGAAGGGTTCAAATCGGAATGGGTTGTTTCGAGATACACCCGTGTGCATGGTGTGCTTGCCCGACTCTTCTAGCATGCAAAAAATATCCTTTGAATTAACCAGTCTTTGAGGTTATACTTAGAATGATTGTGCACTTTTTTCCCATAGACCTGTATGTGCGATTGCTGGGGCCACATCCCTGCTTAAAACTAACCAAAAGTTTGAATAAAAGAACCTTGAATTACCGAGTCGACTATATTCCTCTTTTATCAGGGCTGTTCCCCCACTTGGTTAGAGGTGAAACTCACTGGCATTTATCTTCTGTCCAGGTTACTGCAGAGGCAGCCACTCTGAAGAAGAAGAAAAAGAAAGATAAGAAGCTGAAGCTGAAGAAGGAGCTGGAGGACAGCGCCACTGTAGACACTCCCGCGAAAGAGAAGAAAGGGAAGGTCAAGCGGGAGTTAGAGCAAAGTCTCGATGCGGACGCTACCCTGGACGATGAGGATGCCAATGCCCCTCCCAAGAAGAAGAAGAAAAAGAAGAAACATGCCGAGGAAGACAATTTGCCCGCGTTGAAAAAGCTGAATGGTGGTGCTGCAGTGTTGGAAAAGCTGAATGGTGATGCTGCAGAGGGCGAGGTTGATGAGGTTGCAGACGCGCCCAAGAAGAAGAAGAAAAAGAAGTCGAAGGGGGAGTGAGTGCCGCGGTGGTTGCTCAAAAAGTAAACAGGTTTTATCAGCTTTTGTTTCTTTATTTTGCAGTACTACGACTTTGGAAAGTCGCATGCCCATATTTGTAGACCCAAACATACTGTGCAATATAGAACAGCAGACCCCATAAACATGCAGCTTTTAAACTATACATCGTTATGACAAAATGGATTTTGTACCCTGCTTAAAGGGACACTGACAGGGTATTTGCGCTTGCCAAGGTTTTTATTTGTACATGACATATGAGAGCCGAACCACCCGGAATACAATTTGACTTGAAATTCGTTTTCTTTCCTCCCGAAAACTGCCGATCGAGAACTGGCCAGTTTGAGTTGTGCTCACCCTCTTCCCTGGGGTTACGTGCTGTTTTCTATGGTTTAGAGACTATACACCAACTCATGTTTACAAACAAACCGGAGCGCCCCTAGCGGACGCCACCGGCGCCGCGCATGCGCGATGGGGGTGTGGGCAAAAAGCTCGCCGTCGCCCATAAACAAACCATTGAAATGCGATGTCGTCGGCGTCGGTGCGAGTCCCCCTGCCCTTTTTCGCGTTCGAATTGTTGGTTGTACGTCTTCCTGGCGATGTCGGACTATCTTGAGCGGCGTCAGCGAAATTACCGAGGCTCGTTACACCGCAAAACTTCGCGTGAATAATGTGACATGTGGCGATTCATTCCGCGTGGACGCCGCAGATTGTACGCTAAAGCGTGATTCGCATGATGATATTTCGCTCGGAATTTTCAGTCGCGACGCCGCTCGGGCTGCAAAAGCGTGAACCGCAGCTGAGATGGTCGACGACGATACTGAAAATCACAAGCAGAATCGGACCAACTGAATTAGGCATAACAAGTCGGTGTTGGTCACTGGTAACAATGACCAACATCTCCTTGTATCTACTGTTTACATCGAGCCTGCTTACCAACCTTCAAATTTAAGTCTTTTGAGGCCTTCACTCACTTCTTATCACAAGTACCGGGCCAGCATTTGGTCTACGGACCGGCGTCGTCTAAGAGAGCAGACTACAAGCAGAAACGTTTGAAAGAGCAGACGACAATTCGAACAATCAGGCGGCCGTTTGAACTTGAAGACGCACTGAACGTAGTCCACAGGGGGTCCGCACAACTTGACGGTTTTCTGGCGTTCATGTTGGAACAAAACAAATAAAACTGATGAACACAAGTATCCGTGAATTCAACCCAAAGTGCTTCCCGCCCAAGCAATCGTTGTCCGACGGCGTCTGCTTTTCCCTTTTCACGGCACACATCCAGATTCTCGGACAAACCGAGCACGTGAAAACTGACCTTCAAACCTTTCTCGACACTTTTGGTACGGCCCCAGTCGCGGCGTTTTGACGAGAAGGCAGGTTTTTGTCTGGTTCCTTTCAAAACAACGCAGGAATACACGTCTGGCGTGGGGACTTCTGCCCACAGCCCCAGACCGGAAGTGCGACCGACGCGCCACCACCGCGCCGTGACGTCACAGAGTTGAGTTGGTGTATACTCCATTTCACCTAATGTTGTACCGCAGCGAAGGCTAGAAGTGCGAGCTCATAGTGTTGGCAGCTGCCCTTGGTGCACGAGAGCTTGTGCCGCCAAGGTTTGCCATAGAGCAAGGAGCTCGCGCTTGTAGCCTTTCCTGCGGTACAACACAAGGTGAAAGAGAGTATACCACCAAAGATAGCCAAAGTTGTGGGTCCCCCATCGAAAGCACACACTCAATACTTACTAAAAATAAACAGAAAATATGATACCCATGTTTTGTGGCTTCTAAAAAATTGCAAATATGTTGATTAAAAAAAAAAAAAGACAAATTGCACAGTCACGATAACTTTCTCCTTGTCTATATTTCTTCTTCCTCCCCAGTCCAGTTCCAGTTTCGAGCAGTTGCGTTTTTTTACTTTATTAAAAAGATGCGCGATGCTGTAGAAAAATATTGGTTGGGTAGTCTTCCGACACCATAATAAATCGCCTGGCAAAAAAAAAAATTAAAAAATATTTTGGGGGGTGTCTGTCCCTTTAAGGGGGGGGGGGGGTGCAATAATTTTAAGATTAAAAGAATTTGCATCTTATCATTTTTACGTTGTTTATCGTGTCCCGGAGGATAGAGAAAACATCTCCTTCATTAATAAAAATGTTGAGATTCCGCTGCATAATTGCAAAGCAAAAATCGAGCTTTTTTTCCCCCACTTGCAGCCACGAGTGGCAGCCGAAGGAACTAAGGCGAGAAGCTTGCGTGACCTCAGTTAACTCTAAGCTGCTGCATAACCCCTGCTAATGTCAGCAGGGAGAGGGAGAGGAAGCACCCCCGAGAGAGCACTTTGGAAGCTGCTTGGCACCCCGAATTACGTCGCTAGGAGTGCGACCAGGTATGACCCTGAAGGCTGGGAGTGTGAGTTGAGGGGTGCCAGAAATGACAATATTTTGTTTTTACACAATAACTAGGACATGTAGGCGAAATCAGTTTTACTTCAGAAGTGTCAGAATAGACCTGTTGCAAAACGCACAGCGCCAGGACGGCAGATGGTTTCGGGAACCCTCGGTACAGATCACGCGCTTTCTCGTTGCGCTTGCGCGTGCGTCGCAGCTGCTACCACTAGCGGCCATCCCGCCGGAACGTTGTATGTCGTTGCTGGCGTACCATATCTGGCAGCATAAATGCATCGCGAAAGGTGATTTGAATATGTTACCTTCACGTCTTTCCACCGCCACTGTGGCAGGGTTCGACTAGGTTCGACAATGCGTTGGCACAGCAGCAGACAGGCGGTGCAGTACAAAAAAGTGATGAAAAAAGGGGCAGACCCCCTCCTCCGTGTGCTCGTCGACGATTCGACTCTGCTTTCTGGGGCTCGAACGTTGTTGCTATGGTAACCTGCACCTGCTCGCGTTAAAGAGTTTGCCCAGAAAAAAGAAGAACCGCAACCAAGATGGGGCTTTAAGATATACTAAGATGCAAGTGTTCTGCCACAAAGTACAAACGCGTGCAAAAACAGAATTTTTTTTATCACATCTACACGTGGCTATATTCGGGTCGCGACTCGCGAGGAAGAATGTGTTCACAAGTTTGTTCAAGGGCAACTTGACACTCGCAATGTCAAAACAGGCAATTTGGAAAGTGCAAGAAATAGCTAGATTGTACTCGTTCAATGATATATTATTCATAAAAAAACTGGAAAGTAACGACAAAAGTAACGCCGTTACTTTCATCATTACCTCAGAAAAAAGTAATACAGCCTAAGCTCGTTATAACAGACCTTGATTTTGATCAAGATTTCGGTCTGTTGTAAAAGGAGTATGTTGTATGCAGATATGAAGTTGAGTCAATGGTCCATAGAGGAAAACCAACCGAACTTCACAAAATTAGTATGTTATATCCACATGGTCTGTTGTAACCAGAACTGTTATAATGAGCTTAGACTGAAGTTACATTTTTAAAAAGTAACTCGTTAGTTACAAGTTACCAAAAAAAGTAACGAAGTTACAGTAACGCGTTGCTACCCAAGACTGCCCGGAGCACGACACCAGGTAAAGACTGCATCGCATACAAAATGCTTCACAATTTCGTCGGCGCCCTCGCGGCTTATTACAACGAGGCCTGGAACACTGGTACACTGCCACAAGAATGGCGCGACATGCAGACATAACCCTCATACCCAAACCGGGCAAGCCTCTCCCCCTCAAGAATCTTCACCCTGTATCTCTCACCTCATGCATCGGAAAACTCTTGGAGCAGGTAGTCCTCAGACGACCTCAACCACACCTGGAAGCCATCCACTTCTTTGCAGAGACCATGTTCGGCTTCAGGCAAATCCTGTTCACCCAAGATATACTTCTCCAACTTAAAGAATACATCCTTGACTACCCAGGACTGGCACAGACAAGGGCTGTTTTGGCTCTTAACCTCAAAGGAGCCTTTAACAATGTGTCCCATAATGCCATCTTGGAAGGCCTCGCCCAATCCCACTGCGGAAAGAAGACCTACGAATACATACGGGCTTTCCTATCCGACCAAACCGCCAAGGTCTACATGCTCGGCTTGGGCTCATGTACCTTTCTGCTCAGAAATATCTCGCCAGAGCACTTCATAAATAAGTTTTTTTGTTTTTTTTTTTAAATCGCACTTTGTTTTAATTTTGTAAACTCCAGTTTTTAGAAATTTGTTTCCTTTAGCATGCATGATTAAAGAGGTTTTACAGCTTGAAAGGTTAATGTAGTATTGAGAACTTGACCAATTTGCTCAAAAGTATGAGATCAGTTGGCTCCTAGATGGCTAATCCACTCACTTTTAGGTTAAATTGAAGATGCGGAACCCAGACATCCCAAGAAACGCACTCAACCCAAGTTTCTTCAGCTGTCGGGAACTATAGCTGCAGTTCATCACAAGGGTAGCTACAACTGTAGAGAGAATCTGGACCCGTTTATTCAGCTGCACGAAACTATAAACGTGAAATCATGCATACAGGTCCTCATTCAATTCCCAGAAAGGGCCAGTGCAATGAAATGACTGTCTTGACAAAGCAAGTTTAAAGGATTTTTTTTTTTTCAGATCCAGTGAACAAGTTTGAACACAATGAATTCAGTTTTGCACAATCAGGCAGATACAAATAGACAATTAAACCTGATACCAACTCGTACCATAGCACACATCTAAAAATGCATATAGATTTAAAAAGGCTAATTTGCTGTAGCAAGTCCTCGGATAAATTGTAAAGTATACTAGCCAGTATGTGCACTAGTGTTCGGGAGAACCTAAGTGGGTTAAAGAATACCAGTTACTGACACTTTTGTATAGAAGCAGTTTCTAACTCCTAAATGACTTGTGTATCTTGAGCATGCCTTGCTTTTAATGTAAATGCAAACAGCCTCATAGTGGAAAAACTTTTAAATACAAATGCAAGCCATATCGTGCGTAGCTTGTCACAGACTGTCATACACAGGCACACAAATACACGCAAATAACAGTGATATGGTAAAGCCCAGCAACTAACAGCATCCGAAAGTAAATTTACTGTCCTCCAAAAAATACCAGCCTGCTGCTCTGCTAGCAAACAATCTAGGGACAACTATGCAATTGCACCAATTGGAACTAGGCGTTAACAACACTGGTCTGCTTCACATGCAGAACTTGGTTTGTCTTCATCCTATCTGTGGCAGGCAGTCATTCCTTGGTGTGTCACTAGTAGATGATCTTCCTGAGGATCCCGTTGACCACATCCATGGTTTGATCATCAATCAAAACAATGCCTTGGTGTGTCACTAGTAGATGATCTTCCTGAGGATCCCATTGACCACATCCATGGTTTGATCATCAATCAAAACAATGTCGAAGCTTTTCATGTACTGCTGTAGCCGCTCTTCAATCTGCAAGTTGAAACACAGTGGTGAGCTTGACATGCACGCCATGGAAATCTGAAATTTTGTCACAAAGAATATCCACATGGTGCTACAGTGGGGAAACATTTTGCACAAGCTAAAAGCCAGTCTTTGGCCTATTGTCAAACGTTGCATTTTCCACAGGTGGTTTTATACTTATACCATGTACCCAGGCATGCATGGTGGCATCAAAATTTCAATACATAAAAACAAAAGTATATTAAATCTATAATACTACTACTGTCCAGACCGGTTATAACAAAGTTGGTTATAACGAAATGGCGGCTACAGCGAAGCGACCACAATTTCCCATTCCCGTTTGCACTTTTTCAATGCATTGGTCTGTTTTTAGCGAAGGAAATTGAGCGGCTCCCGCAAATATAGCGAAGAGAAATTTTGGAAAGGCCGCTGGGCGGCAGTCTCTGCAACGTCGTCTGCTCCCCGCTCCTAATCTGGGAAGCGGCTTTATTGCATGGCACGCGGGGAAGCCGTCGTGGCATGCATATAGTGGCGTGCTAGCAACAACGTTTCGACGGAGATGACTGAGAGAGCCTAGATTTAAGAGAGGGAGCAGCAAGTATGCCTGCATTTGATTGTCGCGTGGCGAGGAAACTGGGCGGAAAGGTAGACAAGTTTGCAGAAGGTGAATGCTTTTGAGTCTTGCCTTCTTGCATGCTGCAGCTCGTTTTGCAAATGCGGCCCACAAACCACGTGACTTTTCTTTGTGATCCGTGTCAACGTCTGGTCGGTAAGGTAACTTTCGGGCGAATTTCTACTTCGCACAAGCACCGATTCGGCGAATCATCACCACTCAACGATGGAGAGTCCCGGCACCTCGACGGGGAAGACAAAGGCGACCTTGAATCAAAAGCGTGCCATCCTCGACGGAGTGCGCATAAACGTTAAGAATGCCATCCACCGCCGGCTTCCTCCGTGCGGCCATCGCAGCTGTCGACACGGTCCGTACGTAGCAAGAACTTTTTTCGATTGGAGCTCCTCGCAGTTGGCGAGAAGCGGCTCCGATCTAGCAGAAGATGCGTGCGGGGAGGCCTCGACCGCTTTCTGCGAGCTCGACAAACATGTGCCTGTGACAATCCATGTTATTTATTTTATTTTTTTCATGTTATTTGTACGAGTATATCTAACAAGAAGCGAATATAGCAAAGCGATTTCAGATTCCTGTTGACTTTGTTATAACCGGTCTCGACAGTACTGCAAACTAGATTGAAGCACATGCTTGTGGTATTTGCTTTATTTAATGTATGATACTCTTCTCTATCACTATCAGTTATGGAATCGGCATTGGATATTTTGTAGCAGGTTTTGCAGCAAGCAAAATATTGGTTTGGAGCAGCCACTGACATTTTTGGAGCAGATGCCAACATCTGTTAGCCAGTCACTTGAAAATGTGATTGCATCCCTGAATGAGTTCATATCTGATAATGATTGAGGGTTCCTCTTCGATACTGAAGCATATTACCCAACTTTTTTGTAGTAAGAACAGATAGGATGCAAAAAGAACAACTCTTTACAAATGAGGCTCAGGTAAGTACCATATTTTTCGGTGTATAAGAGAGTTTTTTTTCCACAATTTCCGGCGGTGCATCTTACATACCAATTTTTACTTTAAAACTTGCAAAAAGTGGGGGGTGCATCTTGTAGAACGATTTGTCTCATACATAGACACATTTCTTTTTCCACAATTTTCGGCGGTGCGTCTCATACTAGATTTGCTTACAAACTTGCGAAAGGGGGGGGGGGGGGGGGGGGGGGGGGGGTGCGTCTTGTACAACGATGCGTCTCATACATAGACACACTTCTTTTTCCACAATTTTTGGCGGTGCGTCTCATATACTCGATTTACTTACAAACTTGCTAAAATACAGCCATTAGGCTCAGAATACAAACATGAAATTGTTATTTATGGATATTGTAGATCATATTCAGCCTATTTCTGCATAGACGAGTATATTTCAGATTTCATTGAAGTATCCCTTTATTGTTTCCCGAACTTGGGAATTCTGGAAATTATATGTGAAGCGCCAGATTTGACCGGACAAGCACCCACGTCTCGATTAACCCAGTTTTCAGTGACAGTGAGGTGAGCACTCCCCCGGTATTTTACAGCACTTCTATACTGAAATAGGGAGGACCAAGTTTGCACTTGGTGAAAGCCTTCCTGGAGCGATTAATTCTATCCATCCAGAGGCGCCATCTGTGAGCAAACATTCTTAGTTATTTCACATCCAAGTTTATCTTGTATTAGTGCACGGCAGCAGACTACTTGCATGACCTTTTCAGTTGTGTTAAGGTTTCGTGGCGTGGGCTTTCCAAATCTTGTTATGGACTTAACCTGAGTAAGTTGGTTCATTACTTGTGAAAGTGGCGAGAAAGAGGCATTAAACGTGGGCACATATGAAAAGTGACTCCTAACAAAAATACCTTCACCTCGCTTTTTTTTTTTTTCAAGGGCAAGATGCTTTGTTTTTTGGTGAAGCATCGGCACTTTTTAGGTGCAAAAACACCCAGAAGACTTCACACCATAAGGCCAACAGACACTACTTTGTGGGTTTTGCTTCTGACATTTATTTTTCGTGATGTCAAATAAAATTCTATATTATTTGACTTGTATGGTTTCATCGGAAAGAAAATATGTTCTGTGAGATGCTATGGGGCAACACTTCTCCACATTGACATCCAACCAAAACTCGTGAAACCCAGAGGGAAAAGTTGAATGAATGAGACAAAAAGCCCCCCCTGCCCCTCCAGCAATCTTCCAACTCTACCCATTTTTTTTTTTTTTGGCCTACTAATCTTTAGGTCAAGCATCGAAAGATAAGTTGCAGATAAAACGGAGATGTTTCCTTTATTTTTTCATAGACAGAAGGAACACTCTTGCGACTAGCGGAGGATGATCAGGTGAAAAGTGAGTGATTTATTTGCACTTAAATTGGTGCGCACACGGCGGCGTGCCAGGCGAAGCAGATAGGCAAAAACCCTCATGCGTGTGTGCCTGCCAGCTTGCCGCCGTGTGCATTGGGAGTTATAGTACTACCCAGCTTTAGAAGTGTTTAAATTATGATGGCAGTGATGATGGAGGTGGTGGTGATGACATGATGTTGCTGATGACGGTGGCAATGGTGATGATTCAGGAGGAAGAGGGGGTGAGGGAGTGAAGATCATGATGGCAGCAGACGCGAAGCCATTCGTCTTGCAAATACCTTGCAAAGTTCCCGGGATTCATTGTGTGATGTGGGCAGAGGGCTACGAGGAGCTAATGGGATGGTCAAAAAGTCTCTAATGGCGGCAGGCAGCAGAGATTCGCTGTGACGAACAGTCCTGCCTCGAAGAAGTTCGGGCTGACCTGATCTTCTACCGAGACGTACGGTTGCCGATGGCGAAAGAGAACCGTCGAGCAACCGGCAGAGCACGCGGACTCGAGAAATCCTTCGTCTCTGATCAAGGGGCCGCCAGCCATGGGTTCCGAGCCGTGTAAGGTGCGACACGTCGGTCGTGCCAGGGGACCAGGCGCAAATTTTGTGAGTTGCGCCGCGCTGCACACTCTCCAGTCTCTCGATTAGGTGTTGTTGAGGGTGAGACCAAACTGCAGAGCAGTATTCCAATGAAGGCAGGACTAAGGATGTATATAGTGCCTGCAGGATCGCCGGCCCACCTGGCCTTGCGACGCGTGTGATGAAGCCAAGCGTCCTGCTGGACTTCGCGATAACGCTGGCAATATGTGCGGAAAAATCCAAGTTTTGGGAAAACGTGACACCCAAGATGGACAGGTGGTCTGATGCGGGTAATGGAGTGCCTTCTACAGTATATACAGGGCTTGTCTGCTTTTGCATTTTGAGAAACGTATCACGGAACTCTTGGATGCGGTCAGGCTTAGGTGTTGTCTTGAGATCCATCTCTCTATATCTTCTAGATAGTTTTGCAAGTGACGTGCGCCAGACTGGGACGAAATTGTCGTCGCGATTGATGCATCGTCTGCGTGTTGCACTAGGATACACTTGTCGTTGCGTGGCATGTCGTTCATGTATATGAGACAGAGCGTTGGAGTGAGGACAGAGCCCTGTGGCACTCCTGATGAGATGACCCTCTCTGTAGAGCGCGTCCCACAGTACACAACTTGTTGGCTGCGATTCCGCAGAAAGCTTGGTATCCAGGTGAATAGGAAACCGTGTATGCCTGCGTGTGTGAGCTTCTCAAGCAGGAGGTTAATGTTGAGCGTATCGAACGCATTGCTTAGGTCAAGTTGGATGGGATCTGTCATGGTTCGATTATCCATGTGATCACTGATAAAATGGGTAATAGTTGCCAGTGCTGATTCGCAGCTGCGACCTCTTCGAAAGCCGTGCTCACTGTCGGAGAGATAGCCGGATTCTTCAAGGTGGCTGAGAAGCTGGCCGTTAACTATCCTTTCAAATGTTCGACAAACAATCGAGGCGAGTGACAGAGGACGGTAAATTTTTGGTTCATCCGTCGGCTTCCCTTGTGTAGCGGAGTGACCAAAGCTCGTTGCCACGTTCCTGGCACAGTACCGCTGTCGAACAGCCCTTGCAGAATCTGGCAGGTGGTCGGCAGCATTAGCGGACAGAGCCTTTTGAACCATGTCGGCGCGATGCCGTCTGGACCGCAGCTTTGAGAGGGCTTGATTTTGGAGAGCGCCTCCTGTAATGACTCTGTTGTGAAGGACCGTGTCAAGTTTCGACTGGGCGAGGCTTCCCGCCCTTGTTGTCGAGGGTCGCGCTGCGGGGATGTCGGGGGCATCAGCGTGATGTTCGTTGAGCAAAATCAGTCCAGGGTGATTCGGGGGTGGGCCATTCTTGTTTATAGAGGAAAAGTGGTCAGCGAAAAGATTAGCGATCTCTTGTGGGGAGTCAGCCATTTTGCCGTGGACGACGAAACATGGTCGCTGGGATGAATGACGTACTTAGGGATCTAGTGTAGTTCCAGAAGACTTTCGAATCTTTCTTAGCCCTTTCAGCAATTTCGCGAATGTAGTTTTGGTGGGAGATGTAGATCGTAGCCTTAAGTGTTTGTTGGTGATCTTTTGCCAGTTGTAGAGTGGCAGGACACTGGGATCGGCGTGCCCGCTGAAACAACAATCGCTTGATTCGCGCGACCTTGATGATGTCGGCTGTAATCCACGGCGAGTGTCTGCGTTTTGATGAGCGGACGGAGCAAGGAACACACTCCTTCTGAATGGCGGCCATAAAGTCACACCACAGGTCATAGTTGGATAACCAGTCTGATCCTGCGGAGGTCATACACCATGGTGCCAGGTGGGCCAATTGTACCATGTGATCAAAGTCAAGTTGCCGAAACCTCCACAATATACGAGCGTAATGCCCTGTGCGTGGCAGGGAGACTGCGTAGTGAAGTTCCACGGCTAGGTGGTCCCTGCCGTGGGGGCCTTCCGATACGTCAACAGCTTCGAGGCTCGTCTGGTTGAAAACGAGTCAAGAAAGCTTGGTGTACCGTCGTGGGTCGTACTATACGTTGGCTGTTGGCATGCTTGGGCCAGGCCAGCGGCGCTCACAGTCTCAAGGAGGCTGTGAGCATTAGGGAGCAAAGGCCAGCGGCGCTCACAGTCTCAAGAAGGCTGCGAGCATTAGGGAGCAAAGGCACCCTAATGCCTCCTGAAATTGTAGAACATTCCCATCCAATTCAGCTGTGATATTCTCTTAACCCTTTGAGTGCCGCGCCCGAGTATACTGGGGCGTGCTCCCCGACACGCCCCCCGCCTACATGTGTATACTTGTTTCAATTTATTTCCTGCTGCTTCCTACTTAACTCAGGCTGACAAAAAAATTTTTTTTTTGCTGGACTTATTTTGTTTTTTTTGTTGCCAGGTGGAGAGTTTTGTGGAGGCAACTTCCTTCGTATGCGTTTTCGAGTCAACGTTGCTTTTGAACAGCGCACCCATGTGCTTTAACTTCGCACTCCTTGACGGATGCTGAAATCCAGGAAATGCTAACGAACTCAGAATCTGACGACAGTGAAAGTGACTATATTGGGATACTGATGAAAGTGATCACGAGTCGCCACCACCTGAAAGGCCACTCAAAAAGAAAGAAAACTCGACGATACTGGCCCCAACTGGACTCCAGCTGACTTTGTTCCCAATGTTCACTTCAATTCAGAAGTTAGAAAACTCTTTGAATGTAAAGCAACAAAATCTAGTAAATAAATATACTACATATTGAAGCATGCAACTGCATTTCTGCATCAAAAAAAATATATATATATATTTTTGTGCAGCAAAAAAAAAAACCAGCACTTAAAGGGTTGAAGATCGTCATACAACCTGTCTTCTGCAGGGGAGATAATCTTGTGTGTGCCCTCTTCTCGTAAGTTGGGAGGGGAGCTGTGTTGGGGCAAGTTGAAACGGGGAGAGGATATGGAGAAGGAAGAAGCAAGGAAAAGTGTGAAGTGTGCGTAGGCCTTTAAACTATGCCTCCTGTGCTATACGCCCTTGCCAGATTGCCAGTGCTTCAGTTTGGGCTTGAACCCCGGCCGAGGCACTCACACTTTGTTCCTTTTACTGCTAGGAGCCACATCCACCACCCTTTTTTCCCTCTCCTTATATATGGGAAAACAAAAACCAAGAGGCTCTCTTGCCTTGCAGATGATTGCCCTTGCACGCAATCATCCGCCTTCAACCATAAATGGTAAATAGAATGGTCTTGAAGAAAGTGAATAAGCACCTTATTGTTGAGGAATCCTATGCGCAGCACAACCTCCTGTGATTCCACGTCTCCCAGCATTCCGAGGTCGCCGAGCGAGTCTCCCAGCAGCACAATGTTGGTTTTCTCCTTGACATTGTGGAAATATTCGGGAGTGGCAACGGAAGTGCGGTTTTTGTTGTACATGTGGATCAGCTCTCCCTTGAACCCAATGATGTTGCCCTGAAAAAGTATGTCTGTGTTTTTCTCTGTCAGCTATTAAATAACTATGGCAAGTACAGTAATGCAACTGGTCGGAGTTCTTTTGGAGCACCTTTTGGGGCAGCCAAAAGTCAAAAGCCATTGTTCCTGTTTTAAAGTGCCAATGCACAGCTGCTTTTGAAACACATGCCGATTGACGAAGGACATAATATGAAACCAAGTGGTTTTTTTGGGTATTGAACCAAAGGTAAACCATATAGTATTCTCTGAAATAATGTTAGAATAAAGTAAATGTGAGCACAGAATTTTGTGCTTTTTTGTTCAAATTCAGGCTCTAGTTAAACTGCAATTCCTTATTCGAATAACAATAAAAAAAGCTTTTGTAATTTAATTACCGTAACATCCCAAGAGATAGCGAATCTAAAATCAAGAGCAAATCGGGCGAAAATATGGTGTGGGCTAACTTTCAATGTACAATCAAGAAAAGTTGAAACAAAAAATGGTATTTTTAGCTTATGTGCCCCAAGCTTGTTATGGTAGCGAGGGACAACGAAGCAATGATGACTGCACTTCCCAGTCAGCAATGTTTGCTCATATCTCGCCATAGCGAACTAGTCGCAGTAACGCTGAGGCCATCATTGATCCCAACACTGTGATTACTAAAAGTGGGCTATCTTTCGGTGTTTAAAAAAATAGAGCTAATCAAGCCAAACATAGAGGTGGGCTATCTTCGGGGGGTGGTGCATCTCTCATGATTTCACAGTATGCACATTCATGTCATTTTAATGCAGAATTTAGGGATGATGCAGAATGATATATGGGCAATAAATATATGCCCAGAAAAAGACCCAGTGAACTCATTAACATTAAGAGGAAATGCAGGGCGAAAAATGGCAATATTTTGATAAAAATGTGATTTCAGGTTTTAGTGCTTTGTTATCTTTAAATCTCCATAATTTATGTATAAAAAAATAAGTACCAAATATGGTCGTGATATTACCTAGTAGTCAAATTTGCATTTGAAGAGATCCTGGCAACCCAGAAAGGCATAAATATGAGCCATGTTCGTATGCATGGGTCTTCAAATTGGGACATTGCCTCCCATCACAATGGACCTTTTCCGAGAAGCGTTGTGCGCACGCGCGAGCGCCCAATGCCAAGCGGCGGAAGTCGGAACGAAAAATCGAGGAAATTCGGAAGGAGGCTGTATATCAGCGAGTAGAACACGTAACTGCAGCATATATACAGGGTGAAACAAGGAGACGGCAGGCTCTCTAAATCGACCGGAAAATTCGGTTTCTTAACCTATCGCGCTACGACTTTGTGCAGCGTTGCCCACAGATGGTGCATTTTTTTTGTAAAATTTGCAAAGAGCGAACTTACCTGAGGAAAAAGTAAAGAAAGAAAAAGGCTTAGCTCCTATGGAAACTCAGCGACGCCACCGGTCTGCAAACAAGACGGCGCCGTTTCGCACGGGAGACAAGAGATGGCGCAAGCGGTCGCGACGCCAAATGCCGCCAGCGAACGAGCAGACGACGCCGAGAGCCAGCCCTTTTGCAGACAAGGAACTGCAGTTTCTTGCTGTTACCGCGCCTGCCTTTTTTTCGTTTCTGCGACTGTCGCCGCCTGCGGAACGCGCAACGCTTTTGAGTCGAAAAGATTGTCTGCTAAAAAGGCGTCTCTCGGCGCCGTATGCTTGTTCGTTGGCGGCGTTTGTTGCGCCATCTCCTGTCTCCCGTGCGAAACGGCGTCGTGCTGTTTGCAGACCGGTGGCGTCGCTGCATTTCCATAGGAGCTAAGCCTTTTTCTTTCTTTACTTTTTCCTCAGGTAAGTTCGCTCTTCACAAATTTTACAGAAAAAATGCACTATCTGTGGGCAAGACTGCACAAAGTCGTAGCGCAATAGGTCAAGAAACCAAATTTTCCGGTCGATTTAAAGAGCCTGCCGTCTCCTTGTTTCACCCTGTATAATTGTGTTACACAAAAAAAGAACGTAGACGGAAAGGAAAACATGACGTTTGGGTGGACGCCACAGATGCCCCTCTTTAAAGTCTCGTTGGGCAGGTACCGCTGCTCAGAGAGCGAAAAAACTGGTAGCGTAGCTCCCATTATCGATTGGTAGCGCAGGTAGGTCACTTCCTCGATTTTTAGTTCGTGCAGCCACCGCCTGGTGCCGTCGGTATGTGGAAAAGGTCCATTATTTTGAAAAGTAGGCCTAGCCATCTCCTCTCCATCACAATCTTTTGTAGCTTCAATTTCCCACAAAAAAAAAATAACAAAATTTTTTGTTTCCTGCCACAAAGTATGCTTACACATCTATGATAATATTCTAACATGTTTTTCTCTTGCAATTTTGAGGCATCTTCACAGCTTGCACACAAGAAGTTTTTTTTCTTAATATTGTCCATGACAATTAAATTTGGTACACATAAGCTTGAGGATATGTAGAATGCAACTATAAATATTTAATTAGAATGTATATTTTATGTTTACGAAAACTTCAAGAAACTCGAATTAGCCCTTTGAAAATGGCATTTTTGTGAATTTCATGGATAAAACAGTTCTCATACACATTATTTTTGTTGTTGATGGCAAAGGAGAGATTAGCCTATTTTACTAAGTTCTTTTATGCCTGTTTTCATGTGCTTGCAATCTGTTTTTGTTGTATGTGCATTGCATCCGAGGTATAAAAAAAACAAGCTATATCAAAACTAATACCAGATTTACGGAGAGATAACTAAAAATTTATTTTAGTTATCACAAATATTTTTTTTTTTTTTTAAAGTTGTCCTCTGGCTCATGTCTCCTTAACTTCCATTTGTCCACTGCTAAACCTTATTCTGTTTTAATTTCAACTTTATTGACTGTGCCCTTGAACAGCCAGAGGCCAATAAATATGTGATAACTAAACCAGAGACTTCACAAAAAATTAAACCTAGTATATTGTTCCCCTGCTACCACCTAAATCTAGGTAATTTAGAAAGCACCTTGCTATACTCGACTATCTTTCATGCAAGTCAGCAAAATAGAGCAGTCCAAACACAACTGCAAACATGGCGCCCCGGTTGATGCCCCTCCTATTTGGCAGGTGCGATGGGCAGCACACGTGTGAAGGTAATTTTGGTAGGCTTTGGTAGGCAGAGGCACAGCAACAGCGAGATGCCCTGCTTGCAATCGTGTATAATATATACTAGCTGCAGTTTTATTTCGAATGTTTTACTGTAAGGCAGAGATGTCACATCTAGGGTGTCTTCATGTCTGCTTCGCTTAAAGGGATCATGAAACGCTTTTCCAACTTTTTCTTGTTTAGCTTTCCTCAACTCATGCATCGCGCATTCTACCAAATAGTTCAAGAAGACGGAAAGGGGGGAGTCCCCTCTTGCTTGGATTCTCGTTAGTGTACCCGGAAACAGCCATTCTCAAGATTAGCCTGTCGCTCAAAAATCAGACAAAAGTTGCTTTCCACACCCCGTTCACCCCGAAGCTGACAGTGCTGTGGAAGCTACGTGCTTGTTGGGCCAGCCACACTTTTGCCACATGATCATGCTCTCTTGCGCGTGGAGAAGAGGTGGATCGGCTTGGCCATCACGTTGAGGTGGAAAGAGTGTATGACCATTTCGTAACGTCATGGACTTTGCGTGCAGAATTTGAAATAAATCTCAAGCCATCAGTATTGCTCTAAAAGGTTTTTTTTTTTTTTTGCATAAGATTTATTTTTTGACACGCATGTCCCAACCATTGTTGAAAAAAAAAAAAACATTTTTTTTCTTATTAGTGGCTTTTTAAGGTGGTGCCCAGCTGCCCATTCCCCTCTCCCACTATCATCTTGTTTCCCCGGCATTTTAACTAAAACATAGGCAACGCTGATTTTGTGTCAGTACAAGAGCTCAGGCAACACTGCAGCTGCATTCGCTTCTGCAGGACCAGTCAATGCCAGGCAGTTTGTCTGGTGCGGTGGTGGTCGTCGCAGTATTTAATGCTTCGTTTAATCTGTTGCTTTGTGTTCAGATGCTGCAAGCCAGAAGTAGGTTGTTCCAATGATATGTGAGCATCACTGACTACTCTGAATTTCCATTTGCAACGTCGAAGCTGTCAATGGTGTTTTGGTTGTCCGTCTTGCAAGCCATTTGCACTAATGCAAGCAAATGCCTCAAAGGGGCCCTGCAATCATATTTAAGCGTCTACCTTTTATGCGGTTTCCACGTTTCTTGGGGTTCGGGCAAGCCAGCGGAGAGAATAACTAAATATCAAAACATCATACTTTAACCGGACGACGCGGAAACCTCCTCCACCTACGGAGGCGACCCGCGGTGCCGAAAGCGCGCGATATGTGATGTCTTTGGTCCTGGGCTTACTACTGGTCAGAGCCGATAAAAGCTTCTTTTTATTCGAAATACAAAATATAAGTGGCGCAAACCATTTCAATTATGTATAAAACTAGTTTTTGTTCACTATTTTAGATCAGAAAAGAAACAAATGCAGTTTAAAAGTACGGAAAAAAGAAATGACCCGTCGACATACCTGCCACCAAGCGGTGGAAAAGGCGGCGCATAATAGAAGGGTGTAGTGGGATCAGATATTAACGAGCGGCGAGCGTAGAAAAGTCCCGGATGTATGCGGCGGTACTGCGGTCGTATTGACTGGAGGATCCGACCGGTTCCGAGCGTTCTTAAGGCCCTTGGCAAGCAGCTTTAGCTTGCGGTTTGGCCTTTTGGCGGTACAACAGCGCGAAGTGGCTCTCGTTCTGAACTTTTGCTGTCGTTTGTGGCCAATGAAGGGTCATGCCGAATTAGTGTTTAATCGTGCAGCAAATGCAATGCGAGCCACCCTGGCTGCCCGCTTCATACAGCCTAGCCAGAACATGCTTTAGTGGCGCCCTCTCGAGCTGTCGACAGAGTGCGGCAGCCGTGACCGCTCGCTAAGCTCACTACCCCTCCTCTAGTTCACGGCCACTCAAGCAACCAAGGACATCAGGAAGGAGGTTATTTTTTGCTTGTTTTTGTAATTTTAATTTGCCTATAACTTTTAAAATAAAGCAAAATTTGAGAAAAGAAACGTTTCATTAAGTTACTACGTTCATTGCGCTCAGGTTCACTGCAAATTAAAAACCAGTAGAAAAGTCCTTGCAGGGCCCCTTTAAGAATTTTGTGCATGTCTCTGTTTTCTGATCTAGAATGATAAACCTGTAACTTAACATTACCATTTGTATGGCTACAGTAGTCTGCTACAAGCTTGTCTGATTGGTGACCCGTTGTTGTTCAGTGGCAGTTGTCGCCGGCATTGCCTAGCTCTAACAAGGGTTGTCGCTGTGACAGTAACCATGGTAACGAAGTTGGCAGCACTTATTTGTTGGCAACCGGTATCTCAAAGAATGGCACCATCCTAAGCAAAGTGCACATCCTAAAGTGGTACCGTCCTAAGCAAAATGCACACCCCAATTCCAAGTTTAATTCTTTTTTTTTTCCAATTCTCCTTATGGGCATTAAAGGGATACTTCAACGAAATTTGAAATATTCCCGTCGTGTTCAAAAATAGGTTGAATATGATCCTCAATATCCGTAAATGACAATCGCACGTTTGTATTTTGATCCTGGTGGCTGTATTTTTCGTTATAAACGGCCCACTCTGGCAAGCGCTCGGAGAAGGCCCAGCTTAGAGCACGTGACATCCAACGCAATCGTGACGTAAGTCGTCTCAAGACGAGCAAAGCTACGGCGAGGCTGACGTCGAGAGGATGGCCTAGTCGTTCCAGCCACCGAAGCGGCTGCTTTTGTATGAATTTTGAGTGACGGGTTAATCTTCTATAATCTTCTAGGGGGACAATAGCGACTTCTGCGACACACAAAAGGGATCCTCGGGAAGAGAGGAGTTCCTCCTTCCCCCCTTCTCTCGTTGTGGCCGGAGACGAGACAACCTCCGCCACTAGCTGTCAAGGTTCCTAGACGAGCATTACAAGCAAGGCGTTAGCAACATCCACCAGGTGCTCTTTGCTAATCGTTTAATTCGTTTTAAAATTCCTTTTCGAGACTTTTTTAACAAGATATTGGTATGTTCCATGTGATACTGCTCTTCTGAACACATATAGACCAAAAAATGAGCGCCGAAATTTCGTTGTAGTATCCCTTTAAGGGAGTGCGGAAACAAAAATTGAAATATTCAAATTTTGTTTGGAAATGGGTCAAGCATGACGGATAATAACCGTAAATGATAATCGCACGTTTGTATTTTGAACGACTGGCTATATTTTTCGTTACAAACGGTGCACTCGAGCAAGCGCTCGAAGAGAAGCGAATGGAGAGCGCGATGCGTCATGGGATATCCGGCGCAAACAAAAACAGAAACAAAAGATTTCCCGCGTCCGTGGAGTAGCAAGGCAGGCGTGGTTATGAGCTTTGCCCTTGGTGGCGTTGTCAGCGTTGTAGTGGTGTCAATAGCGTCAGTGCGTTACAACCGAGCCGATCAAAGTACCCGTGGGGTGACAAGCGTGTGGCTGGCCCAAGGAGCACGTAGCTTCCACAACTCTGTCAGCTTAGGGCCGAACAGAGTAGGGAAAGCAAGTTTTGTTGGAGTTTTGAGCGACGGGCTAATCTTCTAGGGGGAGAATGGCTGTTTCCGGTTGCACGAACGAGGGTACCAGAAAGAGGGGAGTCCTTCCTTTCCGTCTTCTTGGACCGTTAGGTACAATGCGCAACTTGTGAGTTGAGGAGGAAAGCTAAGAGGGAAAATGTCGAAATGCCAAAGAGCGGCGCTGCTCCAAAGGAATCTGCTACGTCACGACTACGTAGAAGATTCCACAACGTTGCTAGACTACCTCTTAAATAGGCTCCGCATGCATCCGCCAGGTGCGCATTGAAAGATTGTTTATTTAGCTTTAAAATTAGTTTTCTTGTGCCTTTCAACAGAAGACTGGTGTTTTTGAGGTTAGGGTGCAACATGCAACACATTCAAGCTAGAAAATGAGCGCTGGAATTTCGTTTCCCTACCCCTTTAAAGCACAAGAATGCACAGCGGCGAAACGAGATATGCAAGATTGGGATGTCTAGTCCACAGATGTTGCTTCTCTGCTGTGCACCAATGCACGGTTAGAAGCCCACTTGAAGAAGCTAAATAGCCAGCTTGAACAATCCACAAACATCGAGAAATATTGCAGAGCTTCCTATAGTAAGTTACAGCTCAAGAAGGTGGGGCGAGAGAAAGGAAGGCTGGGGAGAGAGAAGCAGACGGAACGCTCAAGAGGAAAGCGGGAAACCTTCTCCCTCCAGCGTTCCATCTGCTTCCTCCTTCCTAGCCCTTTCTTTCCCTCACCCAACCTTCTTGAGTTGCAATAGACTATAGCACTGTCGATGTTCAATATGAAGATCAAGTCAAATAGTATGTTGTTCAAAACACTGCCCCCCCAAGTCAGGGCACACTGGGACAGTGTTTTCGGTGTTCTGCGCTCTTTGCTGTTCTGCTTTCGTTTTTGTACTGCTGCAGCTATTGAAATTCGCCTCGTCATAACTGAAGTAATAATTTCATTTTCTAAAATCTAAGAAATAATTTGGCCTTATAAATAATAGGCTTCAAATCTTCAATGCCAACTAAAAAAAAAAAGTTAATGAATTTTTAGTAATTAAATCACTAATTGTTTGTTTATAGTACTCGTGCCTTGATGTCCGCTGCAGTTGATAACATTATTTTTGCAGGAATAATTTCTTTATTTCCGGTGTACCCTTTCTTTTGAATATTTTCCATCTTGGAAAAAACACCCGTATGTCTTGCCCATTTCAAAATGCTTAAATAAAAATGCTAATTTCAAATTGCTTTAAATAAAAATAAAAAGAGCACATTATCAAAAATTATAAACATTTCCTTTCACAGAGGCATGCCCCATTGAAGGGAGTAAAATAAAATCCCTTAACTGACACCCCACTACCACCATCTGTAGGCAGTTCCTCTACAGAGGAGAGCTCTACACGCCTCAATGCCGCCATAATTACGGAACTTTCCGTTTTACCTTTCGACAGAGCTAAGCTCCATCCCTACAATTTAACTACGAAAAAGCGCCACCTAACTGTACTTCCTTCAAAAATATATTTGAAAAGCCAATTTTTTGGGGGTTCATTTAAAGAACATTTGATCCATTTCAACCCTGCTGCACAACCAGGAAGAAATTTCATTCTCAACTGTAGCTCAGTCCATGCTAGGAAAGGTAAGAAAATTTTTTTTGTTGGCTGCTTTTTCATTTAACATTTGTTACGATCACTAACAATAAGCCTTGAGAAAATGCGCAAAAAAATCCTACAAGGAAGCTACTTGCCTCATCATCAAACTGCATGTAATTAGAGATGAACTTGAGGTTAGGAAAGTAGCACTGAAAATGCTTGAGAGTTTCTTCTAAGATGTCTCCAAGCCCAGCAGAAAACACTAGTGTCGGTATTTGATGTTCGTGCAGCATCTCGAAGAATGACTCGCAGCCGTCCCTGGAAAATGGAAAGTGGCTGGCTGTAGTACACCCTGTTCAAGCATGGTGTGCCAAAAAGACCTCACCTGAGCATAATTGATGACTCTTCGACCAACTGGGGAATGTCCCTTTTCTTGATGCCACAGTTAACAAGGATGGCATGAGACTTTGTGTACCACTCAACCATATATGGTATTTTTTCTTCTGTCGACATGTAGGGGTCAATTTCAATGGGATAGTATTTTTCGTGGACCTTTTCTGCCTGCAAGATGTAGAGCTGACGTTTTGCCTACACCATGTTTTTTGGGAACAAGATTAAGGGCAAAGAAAACTAGTTTACCTGAACCTGAAAATCTTGAGTGATGAGACTGCTGCATTCCAAGACTCCTGCAATAATCAATGGTAGGGTGCCAATTCATGAGTGAGACATCGACAAGCCTCGATATAATAATCGGAAGTTTAAAAGGATCTAGTTACCGTGAGTACTGCAACATGCTTTGCCATTGAGGTGCGACCTCGAAATTGTGTGGTCAAAGTCCGTCACAACCTGTGGTGATTATTGAAGGTGTTAAGATCCATTAAAAGGTTAAAAGGTGCGAACATACAGGACAAAAAAAAGAGACACGTACGACACGGACAGGCGCCATAAAAGGCGCAAACATACAGGACGAAAAAAAGAGACACGTACGCCTGTTTGTGGCGTACGTGTCCATTTTTTTCGTCCTGAATGTTCGCGCCTTTTAACCTTTTAATCGATATGAACCAACTAGCCCCAACCAAAGTTTTATTAAGATCCATATTTTGCCTTTTCTCACTTCAGGTGTCATCAGAGGTCATCCTGGAGGTATTCCTCCGCTTAACACCTTTCCAATACTCACAGTCGAGAAAGCCGGATCAACCGAATTCCCATGAAGCCCATTTAACATGGCACAATTCTGCGTAAAATTTTTGCAGCTGTGGTGCTATTTTGGCAGTGCTCATGCAGCGAAAAGCCTGTGGACGGCAGCTGAAGCGTGTGCTGCGTCGATGGGCTTTTTGGCTGCATGGGTGACATCACAAGGAAGAAAGTCGCACAATGTAAAATAACCTTGAGCGCTGGCTGCTTTTATACCAATCGTGGGTTACCTCACAATGCAAAGATTTTCGGCTCTGCTGAAGATTTTGGGGACGGGCTTTCAAAAAGACAGAAATGCAGAGCTTTTCCGTTATCTTTTCTCTTTCAATTTTCCCTGTATTCTTTCAATCGTGTTTGAAAACAACTTTCACTCCAATCTCTGTGACTCGATGCAAAGTGTGCCAGTTATTTGGAGTTCAAGAAACAAGCGAGCCTTCATTACTTTTGTGGAATTTCTTTGGATTAATAGAGTTTGTGTCATGACAGCTTGCCGCTAAAGCCTGCATGATAGTGCTGCAAGATTGCGGCGCTGGACCCGTGACATGCTACGATCTGGGCATGAATAAATCGGGTGTACAAATTCTAGACTGCAAACCCCAAATAATCAGGGTTCTAGAGCAACTCAACTTGTTCAACATGTGTTTGAAAAGAGCTCTGCCATGCCTTTAACAACATCCGTCCTACTGCTATGCAAACACACAGCGCTTGCGAACGATTTACAGAAAGACGAGACATACCTGCAGCTTCTTTGGGCCCCCCTTGATCAACTTGCAAACAAGTTCTTCTACGCGCTCCGGGTCTTTCATTCGTACGCATGGCTTTTGCAGTTCTAACACCTGAAAGCAGTGAAGTTACTGTCAGCAGACTTCAAAATACTGAGTACTAAATGAAGGATTAATAGAAAACAAATAACTGTATAAAGAGATATGTTACAATGGGGAAAAAGAAACAGCAATTGGTGAGTGGACAGAGGAAGTTGAATTGTTAAGTGCACTTTACTGCAGTCCAGTTGTAGATAGGTGGATGATATTTTATGTTTATTTATTTGATAAAAATCTATGTACTTCAGCGATTTGTTTTCTATGAAAGCTAAAAGGGTGATTATCAGTGATAGAAATTGCTTATACACAAACTCAGTATTTATAAACAAGCCCGCCTTGCACACACCACGTGTGGGCACCGTGCGTGCACGAACCAAATTTGAGAGGAGTGAAGCGTCTGCGCATGTGCAGTACCGACAGCAGCGCCACCACAGTGGCGTGACGTCAGCGAGTTGGGTTGGTCTATAGATACAAAAGAGAAGTTAATAAATACTTAAGAGTTCAAAGATAATTTCCAATTTGTAGGCATGCCTATAAAGCTTCACTCTTACCATAGTGTGACAGTGCTTGCAGACAGACGAGTCCAAACACTGCTCAATGTCCGAGTACTTTTTAACAAAAATCACCCAAACGTTTTGTTTGATTTTTATTCTGCTGCCCTTCTGCTACGCGTGATGACAAAAAATGAAGTGTTCTCAAATTAAATACTTATGCCACAAGGAAGGCAAGCGGCTTTTACTCCCTTCGCAAGATTCAACTGAGAGCGACCGCCAAAGTAGTTTCGAACACTGTTAGCCAAACTCTGACCTGATTAAGACAAAGAGATATTGAAAATTCAAAGTGATCAACTGAGTGCCCAAACTCTTATTCCACTGTTCTCCAAGCTAGCTGATTCCAAATGATTAGAGACTGGCAGGGTGCTTGATCTAGGCGAGATTAAGAGTTCAAATAAATACAGAAGGGAGTATTTTGACAAAAATAGTCCTTACTTGGACCAAAAATATTTGGATGGCATTTTTCAGTGTTAACCGATTATGTAGTCTTGACACAGGCAGATGTTTAGCTGCGTTTTTTGGTTAAAGCCGGAAGATCTGCGGCCTAGTCATAGCAAGACGACAGTCGAAGAGAAAAGTTGGGGAACACCAGCCATCTTAAAGGTTGTACGCTTCCCAAAAACACTATTTGCTCAGAGTAAAGCTAAACACACTCCGTAGTGCACTTCGGCCGGAAATGGCTATACGCACTATGTGAAACTCGTATAAAACAAATGGTCACAATGAGTTTTCTAAGCGATGGCATTGCATAGGGGTTATGGTGTCCGCTTTATGTTCAAGTAAACGCAGGTTCGATCCGCAGTGGGCCTACTTTTTTCTTTTTTTTTTCTCAAACATTTTGTTTTGTCGAGGCATTTGGCGTTATTTAAGACAATTCTTTTTTACGGTGAACACTAAAAAAACCGAATATTGTCGACGAAACTTCGCAGAACTAAATGGTATGGGACTCCCTTTCCGGAGGTGCAATCGGGGACAGTGGGGCTTGGGCTGCCGGCTGGACGCCGCGATGCGGCGTGTACTGGTTAAGTTTTGTAATTAGCAGCCGCATATTGTCGCTGCGAAGCGGTGTCAACGCAGGCAGGGGGCTGTGTTAACGAGCTCCCCAGTGATACACGCGCCGTTCGAAAAGGGTGACCCAAATGGCATGAGCTCTCCGCGTAGTGCGTATAGCCATTTCCGTCCAAAGTGCACTACGTAGTGCGTATAGCTTTACTCATTTGTTAAAGAGTTTCAGTGCAATTAAAACCTCTTGAAGAACCCAGTACTACAGAAGTTAGACATTTTCAGCAGCAATAAAAAATTTCATTATTGAAAAAGTTAGTGTTTTAATTCCTAGTACTCGAACTGAACCAGTAAAATACACAATCTAGAGAGCTCTCAGCGGGCTACGTCCAATCGCAGACTTTGGGGTCCACTTTACACCGCGAACTTTCTGTCCTGTCACCGACTAAGTGGACAACATAGAGAGGAGCCCATTATGTCGCGAACAAAAGTTGTGGCAGGCCACTTATCCTGTCAATAGTTCCACACCTGACATACCTTCGTGGGGTACTCACGTACACGGAAAGAAGTTATCAGGTAACAGATACGCGCACGCATGAACATTGTGCTTGCAGCCCTACCACTCATCTTGATACTAGCCTGGCTATGCATACCGATAGGCATTTTTCGTCACGCTAATCACCTCAAATAATGACCTAACCCATACGATGCATCATGGCACGCCAAGGCGAGTTAACGCATCTCAAGTACTCGCGGTCGCGGGTTCTGCACACGTCAAGGGCATATGCCCGAAACTCCGGGTTTTCTCTGAGGGGGCTCCGCAGATTCACCTGCCACGGCTCATGCCCGTTACACACATCTTTTGAACACACTTAGACATCGCCAAACAAAATGTTGACTTCTCTTACCGTGTCGATAACTCTTTTCACCTTCCTTCGCTTCCGTTTTCGTAAGATAGCTGTCGTCGCAAAAGAAACTGCCACAACAGCACCGATGCCTACGGCAGTCCAAACAATGACATTTTGAGTTCGAGAGGAAATCATGTTGCCTCCTAGTCACAATAAAGAAAAGTTTATGTTTCTCAACTACTGTGCAAGTTACCACCGCACGCGGTGGAGTACCGGCGTGGCTACGCCACACTTTTCAATGGACGGCTTTAACTTTAGCGACCTCTGTTGCCCCTATCTGCATTCTTTTTTTCGCCCAACGTTGCTGGTTTGGCTTGGCTATGATTTCGACTCTATAGCAGCATTGTGAAACTAACTGCGCAAGCCGGTCAGGCAGGGGGCAAGCCGTATGCGACGTGGAGGTGACGCAGAGTTCAGCCGTTCTGCGGTTTCTCCTTTGTTATTATCCTGAATTATTATTTACGAACAGAACGTAAGGGCGCACGTTAGCTGGTGCATATCAAACATATTCGTGTGACAGACGACGACAAGGAAGAGAAGGAGACGTTCTCGTTCTCTTTCTTGTCGTCGTCTGTCAATACCTCAGTCTCGGGTTTTTCACAAAAAATGTTTATTATTTACCTTTGGGAAGAGCAAGGTAGGTGACGCACTTCGACCATTGGCGCTACCAGTGTAGACTGTGAACGGCAACCGTCGACATAAATGAGAGCAAGTGAAGCAGGCCGATTTCGTCGAATATATCTTTCTTCTCATTGAAAAGTTAAATAAGGGCGCCTTGTTACTTTGAAGGGAACCAGCGGTGTAGCAGTTCACAAAACAAACGGTCCACCTGGGTGCGTACACCACATACACCATCTCATTCAGTTCGAAGCTCGCAGAGCTCGCAGCTGTTTACAGTAGCGTCGCAGAGTTGGCCAGCTCCTGCCTCCTGGGAGCATAGTTTGCAATACTTTGGTCAACGCCTCCTGTACTGCTGCGTCCTGCCGTGCCCCCTCTCCTCCTTTCCTCCTCCCCTTCACCGAAACGACCGCGAGGGGCGCTGCCAACTGAACATTCTAAAAGCCCTTCTATCCTGGGAAAAGTGGCGCCATTCTTTGAACTGGCCGCCGCGCACACTATTGGCCAGTCGTCACGTGACATCTGGCTTTCGGTATTGGACTTACGGTCGCCATGAACTTCCCAAGATTAAAGTCCGAAAATGTAGCTCCCCAAAACTCCAAAGGAAACCCGACGTTTCGAAACACACTTGGTTTCTTCTTCAAGGGTGGCTGAAAGCACGCGGAGCAGCAGCAGCTCCTAACCTCTTCGTTTCCAAAAAAAAAAAAAAAAAAAAGAAAAGAAAGGAGAAAGTAGAAAATTTAGGATTGTAAAATAACTTTTTCAGTTTTGAAGACGGTCATCTCTGCAACTTTCTCGTCAGGTCACGGAGGCCCTGTGCGCATACAGAGGGCAATGCGCCCAGGGACCGGTTTAGGTTTTCTGGCGTTTGCTGGATTTTTGCAACAATTCCAAGAAAGGTCTTCGGAAATTGGGCTCTGTATCCACCACGTGCACGTTCGCGAAGTCAATGCGATGGTCTAGGGCAGTGGTTCTCAACCAACGTTGTTCTCAACCACCGATGATTCGCGGTGCCCTTGCGGATCGTCGGAGATGATGGAGGACCGTGCTCGTGGTGAGGGGAAGGGAAAGTCAAAAAGTCAAATTTGGGGGTTTTACGTGCCAAACCTACGACGGGCATCTGGCACGCCCCAGCGGAGGACTGAGGATTAATTTCGACCACCTGGGGATCTTTTGACGTGCAACCGAAAGCTCGGTTACACGGCGCCTTCTCCGCAATAAGCCTCCGTCATATTGCGGGCACCTCGGTCGGGATTCGAATCCGCCACGTGAGGGGAAGGGAAAGGTATAGGTTAATTATGATAATGATTTAATAAATGGATATAACAAAGGGATAGGTGAAGTAGACTTCTTTCGTCAACATACACACGAAAAAACCTACATGAAAAGTGGAACTTTTTTTTCTCAATTTGAATAAAATACAACCTTTATTGTCGGGCTTGAATGATGAGGCACGGCTTCGCGGACCCTTAGAATACCTTCGCGGACCCCCATTCGAAAACCACTGGTTTAGTCTAGGGTATCACAATGTTCGGCGATGGCGCTGCGCTTACTGTCAAACTTGCGCACGTCGTCCTTGTGTTGGCGGATTCGCTCGGGAAAGTTCTTCGTCTCGCCGATGTGGGTTGCGGGGCACTCTGCGCTTGGAATGGAGTAAACCGTTCCCTGTGCTCTTTCTTTTGGTAGACGGTCAAATTTCGGTCTTGGCATGTACCTTCCCAGTGTGGACGTAGGCTTGCGGGCCACCAGAATACCTTTCCCAGTACCATACATGGGTAAATTACTTCCAAAATGTAATTTATTACATTTACAATTCCTTTGCTTCAAAAGTAGTTTTAACTACAATTACTACTACGTGAAAAGTAATTAATTACAATTACAAATTTCTTTTAAAAGGTAATGCAGTACCTTTACAATTACTTATTTCTCAGAGCGACCCGACTTGGGCAAAAGAACTTTAAACGAGTTGTATCAAATGCAACGTACTTGTTCATTCCTTGCCCCAATGTTTGAGGAGGCTTAAGCATCGTTACATTAATGTCACGTATTGTACTTTCCTTTTATTAAGTTTCGTTAAATTCATGATAGAACTTTAGAGTTTGGGGCAATAAAGTACTACGTTATTATATTTTGAATAAATAATAATGAATTAGTTCATATGTTGGAAGACGCCAGATCGCTAAAGAAAAAATTGTGCTAACAGACTTTTGTTAGGCAGGCAAATAAAAATGTGGCAATTAGATATAAATATTTTACAAGTGTTAATGTAAAACTAAAATCGACATACGCTAATACGACCGCATGCACATGCAAACATTATGATATTGTAAATTATTTACAATGAGTTGAAATTATAATGGCTCAGAAATATATAAGAACCGAATCGGGGCTCCCGAATCATTGGTGACAATATTCGCAGGTGCGAGGTCAGTCTCCAAAGTGCTTGTGCAAATAATATCCGAAGTAAACCCAACAGGAAGTAAACTTGAAAATAATACAAAAGTACAAATATGCAACAAGACGAACGTAAAAAACTGGCAAAAAAAACAAAAACAACATAACTTCACAGGCAATTAAAATTTCCAACCTCAGCTTTGGCATTTTTACTCTATTGTTTTGTGCTCGCACTGCAGACGGCTCTACACGGCGCCTTTGAGGTAGGCTCCAAAGAGGATTGTCTCTAAGCCCGCAGTGTAAGCAACAGAAGAACAAACAAAACTCACACACAGGCACAACATAATTATGTTGTGCCTGTGTGTGAGTGCGTGTCTTTGTGCGAATGTCTCACCGAGAGCTAGGCCCCTTGTGCGAGTGCAGAGGCTTTCAGAGAGGTTCCGTCGGTGCCGCAAAGTTTTGCAAAAGCAGTTGTAATTGTGCCTGAAATTGTGTAATTACTGATGCTAGAAAGTAATTAAATTACAATTACAATTCCTTTTAGCCGAAAGTAAGTAATTACAGTTACAAATTACAAAGAAAAGTAATTAAATTACAGTAATTAAATTACTGTAATTGAATTACTACCCAAGTATGCCCAGTACTCATGCGAGCGCGTCAATGGTTCCCTTTACGTAGGGAAGGCTGATGCGCGCGCCTCGATGGGGCTGTTTTTCTTCTACTGGCATCTGGTTTTGTCTGGCGAGAACTTGGCGTCATAGCGATGCGCTCAATGAAGGACTAGAGCAGTGGCGTCACAAGGGTGGAGGGGGGGGGGGGGGAGGGGGCGGACCGCCCCGGGTGCAGCGCTCAGGGGGGGCGTCGCGGCGGGCCACGAAAGCGGGGGGGGGGGGGGGGGGGGGGGGGGGGGGGGTCGCGGCAAGCTACCGCCCCGGGTGCCACTGACCCTCGTGACGCCACTGGACTAGAGTAGCCGTTTTTCTTTAGGTCTTCAATCATGGTCTTCTTTTTATCGGTTTCCGACGAGCAGATAGTCGTTGCCCTACGCAGGAGGGTCGAACCAACCGAGGCCTTATGACTCGTTGGATGGTTGCAGTCAAAATTGAGGTAGCGTCCGGTGTGTGTTGGTTTTCGGTACACCATAAACTTCAGATCTTGCCCTCGTCGGTTCACCAGCACATCAATTAATGAACGGGAAGGTGCCATCCGTCTCACATTCTCACGGTAAACTGAATGGCCGGCTCGATAGAGTTGAGGTGTGCCAAAAAGTAGTCGCGTCCAGTTTCTTGAGAATGCAGAAACAGTCATCCACATAGCGCATGAATACTTTAAGGCTGTTGGGGAAAGACCTCAGCGCTTTTTGTTCGATTGTCTCCATCGTGAGGTTCGCCGTTGTGACCGGGATAACCGCACCCATTCTAGTGCCACTGATCTGTTTGAAAAGCTGAAGGTGAAGTATGTGCTGCCGAGACAGGACTCGAGTAGGCGGCACAGTTCAGCCTCACTAAGGTTGGTTCTTGTGGTCAAAGTGCTGTATTTTTCGAGGGCTTCGCGGGCTGCAGCGACTGCAAGGGGAACTGGGACACTTGTGAAGAGGGACAAAGACACCATGGTGTCATCGTCGCTGGGATGTATTCGCGAGGCGCGCTCCACGAAGTGGCCGGCATTTTCTACATGGGTCGAAGGGTTACCGACGAGGGGAGGCAAAGTCCGGTAAAGATAAGTGGATAGCACCCAAAGCGGCGAGGTCGTAAAGTACACAATAGGTCGTAGAGAGACGCTAGGCTTGTGGATCTTTGGAAGGCCATAAAATTGGAAGGCCATAAAACTAAAAAAAAAATATTTTGCAATTTTTATTTTTCTATTTTCTCCTTTTCTAATTTATTTTTCTTTTTTGAAGACGAAGAGGTTAGGAGCTGCTGCTGTTCCGCGTGCTTTCATTCACCCTTGTAGAAGAAACCGAGTTGATTTCGAAACGTCGGGTTTCCTTTGGAGTTTTGGTTGGAACTACATTTTCGGACTTTAATTCTCCCCCAACCAGGCAGATTTTTGCCGAATATGTTTACTTTCAAATTTCCCAGGATGTTTCTAAGCCGCAGCTGACGGGCTGCTGCGTCTGTAGGAAAGTCGGCCGGAGAGCTTTTCAGTGTTCCCCCTGGAACAGAAAATGAACCTCGGAGGAAGATCTAATTGCTTCACCGAATCGGTCGAAAAGATTTCAGCCCTACGGGAGCCGCAAAGTTGTGCGAGGTGGGGTGCTCCGCATAAAGCTCACCAGCCTGCAAAAAGACATCAGTTTAGAGCGAGTTATGCACTCCATTCCGCCGTAAGCGCGAGCGATATAATTGCGAGCACAACCGATTGCCAACTTGGCATGCACGGTCGCTCGTCCCGTGGAAGTAAAGGCGCCTACGCACAGTTGCGTTTGAGAGCGTTTGACATGCGTTGCGTCGAGAAACGAAAGCGAGTCATACGAAACACATCTGTGTTATATTCATACAAAACACATTTGTGTTTCGTATTTCAAGGAATTGCTTGGCACGCGACAAAAGAAATATGGATGTCCTGCGTTCTCGCAGTCGCAACGCAGTGAAACGCTTTAAACGCAACTGGGCGAAGGGGCCTTATGTCGCTCAAAACGGCCTGCTCCTACTCGTGCTTGTGGCATCGGTGTCGCTCCCAATTACGGGTGCGTGCGGAGTACGCGCTCTCGTTGAAGGGCAACTCCGCTTCTTTTCCAGTAGTGCAAAACTATACAGTTCTCTTTGTTATCATCTACAAAACCCCCATGGCAAATATTACGACGGAATTTCGCCTAGAAGTTCATTAAAATCGCTGTCAAGTTTGACAAGCACGAATCCGCTGGTTTTGGATGAGACGTGCGGGCCAGACAACACTGCCCGGCTGCATTTCCGCTTCCTCCAAATTCCTTCTCC